ACTGACAAGAAGTTGAATTATTAAAAGTTTAGAACAATTGCACATATCAAGCTTTTCCGCTATGACAGTTACAATACACAAAATGAGATAAATTCTTGGTATGGTTGCAAGGGATCATTGCATATGATATATGATGGCCCACTGCATGCATAAAACTATATTTACAGGTTTATAATCTTGGGAGGGACTGGAGTAGGAAAATCAAGTCTTCTCAATGCTCTGGTTGGACGGAGACATGACTTTCATGGAGAAGGTTACAATGATGGCTGCTTTAAGGTAATTAAAAAAAACCATCGAAACCCGTGCGTAGTACTAGGAATGTTGTTTAATCCTATTTTGTAGTCTTGAACATGATAATCCCTCTAAATCAGCAAAGTGAATAAATACTAAAGTGGACCAAACTCATTGGTGGATGACGACATTTTATGTCCCAAGTATTTAGAAATATGTATATATATATATATAAATTGGTCTGTATACGGAGTGTACAGTACAACAGAAACTGGACTCCCTTACAATCAGAGATATCCATGTTTCTCTTTGTGNCATCTGTATTTTAGGCTAATTCAGGGGGAGAAGCTAATTAAACCCTGTATTTCATGCTAAATCCGGAGGTGAACCTATAACAATGAAACCATATATTTCATGCTAAATCAGGAAGAGAACCTATAACGCTGAAACCCTGCATTTCATGCTAAATCAGGAAGAGAACCTATAACGCTGAAACCCTGCATTTCATGCTAAATCAGGAAGAGAACCTATAACGATGAAACCCTGTATTTCATGCTAAATCAGGAACAGAACCTATAACGCTGAAACCATATAATTCATGCTAAATCAGGAAGAGAACCTATAACGCTGAAACCCTGTATTTCATGCTAAATCAGGCAGAGGACCTATGACACTGAAACCCTGTATTTCAGGCTAAATCAGGAAAAGAACCTATAACAATGAAACCCTGTATTTCATGCTAAATCAGGAGGTGAACCTGTGACAATGTAACCCTGTATTTCAGGCTAAATCAGGGGGTGAATCTGTGACAACGAAACCCTGTATTTCAGGCTAAATCAGGAGGTGAACCTGTGACAATGAAACCCTGTATTGATGTACAGCCATGGTTGGGAAACGAATCAATAGGTTAAGTGAAAACTTTAGAAATACCTTTTTAAAATTTTACATTATAACCCACCTCTGCTTCCTTACAGCTTTTTACATGTCCCAATTTAAAGAGGGAGAAAAATTGATAATTTCTCACAAAACAAATAAAGAAATAAACTACATTTACAAAATTTGTCATGAACCCCATGACTAAAGTATTGCAGTTCAGATTGCAGAGAGCCTATTAATATTTCATTTTCATCTATTTTTTTCGTTTTCTCACTGACACATCTTTTTTTTCAAAGGTTTGCTCGAAAATATCATTCGTTGCGTGAAAAAAACTATAGTTTCTTTTTCGTTCCTTTAAAAATAACATACAGATTTTTTAAGTCTTTAAACGTCCATACGTTCGATTTTTTTTCTAAACGACACCATCGTTCATGGAAAATTTTGTTCATTCTTAAAAATGATGTCCATCTCTACTCCCTATGTTCCTAATTTCGAAAATCTAAATATATAATGTATTTTCAAAAAATAAGAATCCCTTAAAAAATAGAAATAAAAATTAAAAATAAAAATAAAAATAGGAATGGTTACTCTGATCGATACTCCAGGTCTTGGGTTGAATGCCAGGTGATATGAAAAAAAACTGTTTAAAAAATCAATTTCTTAAAGGGACTGGTGTTCTAATTTCAAGTGACCCCCCATTTAAAGTGGGGCCTAAATGATTCAGTGCACGGTACCCTTTAAGTATTTATCTGATCAATCAACTGGAAGATATCGTCGTTTTACTGGATAAGTATTTAGTTGTGAATGCGCAAGGAACTTACCACAAATAAAAAATATAGAAATTAAAACTTAACATATATCATTCCTTCTTGGCCAGACATGTCACTTATTAAATGGAGGGACAGGGTCACTTAAAATAAGGTCTATACACCCATTTTAAATATTGCATTTGTCCTAATTCATATATACTTTGATTTTTCTTTTTATATTTTTATGCGAGGAAATCATGTAATATGATTGATTTCAGCATGGATGCTGCGACAATGTCAAGTATAGTGAAACTACTGAAGGATTTAAAACATGTTCATGTTTTTATCCTGGCTTACAAGGAGAACGATCACAGAGCAACGCAGGTATTTATTTATATATATATATATATGCATAATGAGTTGGTTGAGGTCTCTGGTCCCTGTTTCATAACCCAATTATCAGGGTTTGATGGAGCAGTGGTTAGCGAGTATGATACGCAATCCAAGGACTCATGGTTCAAGCCCAGCAAACTTTTAAATCAAAAACTGATGAATTGAGCCAAACTGGCGAGTCCAATTAGGACCAAACACTGTGTCTATGGATGCATATACATGCAAGGTATCTCTGAAAAAAGTGTTTTTAGGCCTTAAAGCCTACTAAACATCATTGTCTTGTGTTAAAATGTGCTTCTATTAGGTGCAAATTAATTGAAGTATTTTTAGGAGATGAAATATATGCTAGAATACTTAATTGAAGTATTTTTAGGAGATGAAGTATATGCTAGAATACTTAATTGAAGTGTTTTAGGAGATGAAGTATATGGTAGAATACTTAATTGAAGTATTTTTAGGAGATGAAGTATATGCTAGAATACTTAATTGAAGTATTTGGTTCAAATATATGGAATTATGCTATACTAGAGGCAACACACTGGAGCTATGAGAAGAAACAGGTTTTTAAAGTATCTTTTATCAAATTCATTAACTGCAATTTACTCGCTTTAGATTTTATTTTCCTAATTCTTATATCGATGGAACCTGATGTCCCTATAGACATTAATATGTCAAACTATAAATTCCATTAAATCCAAATCAGTAAAAATCCAGAGAAAAATAAATACTAGATCGGACAATCAAACAGAGACTCCAACTTTATATATTTGAAGATAATAATATTAATAATAATAAAAATGATAATAATAATAATAGTAAATGGATTATGAGACGGAGATACGAACAGAGAAGATATATATATATGTATATGTATCAAGGATGACAGAATATGAATATAAGATGGAGGTATAATTTTGAGGTCTCGTGAAAAAGAGAAAGCAGAACCGCCGCCATCTTTGATCTAAATTTATGTTTAGATGGAGATACGAGCAGAAAATAATCGAACAGAGAAATCCTGGGCCCAGAGGTTCAACACATTCTTTTCAAGAGAATTCAAACTTAGGAAATATTTTAGAACAAAAATTTCCATTGATAATTTCATTTATGCTAAAACATATTAGACTTAAAGTTCCAAATCGATAGTACACATAAGTAAATATTGTATTAAAGTTCCATGAAAGGACAGAAGTTCAGAACTGCAGTTTTTATATGAAATTTAAATCTTGTTCATTCATATAAGTGTATAATAAAAACATAAATTTCAAGAAATTTTTAAGCTATGAATTGATTTAATTAGGTTTTAAAATCAAATTGGCCTAGGGGAGATTTCACGCTTCCGGCAGTTTTTATAGATTCTTTTCATACGGTTTTTCCTGAGGATGCCTTTCAGGTAACAATTTGTTTTAATTGGGATTTCTTAATCACCTTTTTCAAGATAAATATGATACATCGATGTTTTCAGCTAAAACTTTTCCACAATTTCGTCAAATGAATTTGTTCAAATTTATTAAACATTTTTATTATAGAATATGTGATATAGTTTAGTTTTTAGTTTTTCGAATTTCTAATAAACCATCAAGGGATATCAAAGAGAAATTAGATTAATTTTGGATTAATTAATAATTAAAATAGAGATAAGTTGGAGATCCCCATATTTATAACACAGGTTTTGACTTCAGTATTATATATAGTTTTAAATTTCTCAGATATCTAACTATAGCTTCTTTTTCCATAGAGGGCCAAGTTTGAGGAGAATGCTGAAAAACTTTGGAAATTCGCGAATTCGAGGAAAAACACACCTTACACTTGCAATGATATAGAGGTACATTTATTGAAGGAATTAGATCAGCTTTGTAAATAAAAACTAGAATGAAGACATGAAACAATTATCACAAACTTTAGCNCTTTTTTCAAACCAAAGTGTACAATCTGATTCTGAACATGCAAATGAGTTTCTGCCTGAAAATGGAAAAAAAGAAACAATTTAAAGCGGCAGGAAACATTTAATATTAGAAATAAGACTGATTAAAATATGCACAACATCTATAAAGTATCACTCTTTATGGGTAACCCTGTTTTCAATTCAAAAGTACTTTACCTAATTTTTCTTTTTTCTTAACTTTACTTTTTTTAATTTTTGCCAAACATTTTTATATTTTAACAACTTTTTTTTATAAACATATTTTAAGGTTTTATTGAACGAGCGAGCTTTGATGGAGCAATCTTTACATAATCTGACGGTAAAATATTTATGCGATGATAAATATTATTGTTATTATTATTATTATTGTTATCAATAATTCTTTCTTTAAAATAAGTATAAAATTAAAAATAAACAAAACCAAAACTAAAAATATTAATTTTCGTTATTTTAAGAACGTACAACAATGAGATTCTATTATTAACTTTGTCTATTATTATTTGGTTAAATGGTAAATGGTAAATGGTAAATGGTAAATGGTAAATGGTAAATGGTAAATGGTAAATGGCTAAATGAAAATAATGAGGTAAAGAAACGAGAAGCGTTACACTAAGATTCTAAAGAGAATCATCTATAAAACTAAGTGTGTAATAGCATACTGATTATAGATTCAAAATATAGCTTCTAGTCTTGAATCGAAATGATAACAATGTTTAAATTGGGTTTAGCATGTCTTGTTTTTAGATGTTTTTTTTAGCTAAGAGAATAAATTACTATGAATCAAGGGGGGGGGGGGAGTGTCGTTAACTTTCTATTGTGATGTATTGGGAATCGCAAGAACTTGTCTTTTTTGTAGATAAGCAAACTTATTAAACTACAAACTAATGTAAATTTTACGTATGATTTAAAGTTTTAAATGTTTTCAATCGAAACTCCTCATAAATTGAGGAGCTAGCAAACAGAACAAAAATGTTTTGAATTTCTTATATGTAACAAAAAAAAACTAGCTTGAATCCCATACTTAAAATCAAAACAAGTTGAGCTATGAGGTCACAAAGTCGTCCCAGTAATGTCATATTTTGTTCTTTATAGTGGAGTGTCTAACAAGGATGGCCCCGACGAGCCCCGCCCAGAAATACAATCCTCTAGGATCTTTTTATTATTTTATCTAAAATGGTTTCTAAGCTGTTCTAATACGTCATAGTAAAATATAAACACAAGGGGCTGAACACTGTCGCTTTTGGAAGCTAGGGGCCAAGCGCTGTGGCTAGGGTTAGCTTGGGTCCTAGCGCTGATGCTTGCAAAAATGTCTTAGCGCCGTGAGGGTTACATTTATGATTGATTTTAATAATAAAGAGATTTTATTTGGTTACGAAATGATATTCAATGTATACGAATTGGAATTAAAAACTTCAAGAGCGTAAAAATGATACAAATATTTAAATATGAAACAAATTAGATAATATTCAAGTTTTTCAGTTTGGCTGATCACAGCATTTTTTAGGCATTCTAATTCAAATATTTAGGCATTGAAGGCAGCACAGGAACTGAATCTCACCCTAACACAAATGGAGGTCTGTTTTATTTCAGTTACATTTTGTTTGTTTTTCAAAAATTATTTTTGGCCGAAAAAAAAGTGTTCTATAAACATTTGGGGTTTAGTCTTTAATTTTAGGCAATTTAAACAGATAGTGCCATATTTAATTTGCTTAATTTGATTGATGAAGTTCATATGAATTAGATTAAAGTTGAAGAAAATAAACTTTATAAACAGCATTCGTGATTTTTTGCATCTATATATATATATATAGTAGTGTTCTATTTGTTTGCATGTTAGTTCGTATGTCCGATCGCCTAAAAATTTGAGTAGAAAATTAATTATAAAACCACTTGAATGTCAATAGTTTGGTATAAGAATATTTAACTAGATGGGTTCCAAAGCTAGTACTTTATTATTCTAATTATTCTTAAATTTTGCAGATTTGAATCCATCCATCTTGTAAAAACTAACCAAACAGTATCAAAAAGAACTTGGTTATTTAGAGAAATCAAGCAAACTCCGTTAAGGAACTGAATCAGCCGTTTCATACTTTAATTTGAAATTTTTATATCTTTGCTACCGGAGGTCCAACTTTTGTGAGGGATAGCGTTAATTTACAACGCTTTCGATCTTTATATTCACTGTGACAAATTTTAAATTTAACAGCTCTAGTTTTCACTCCTGAGTTGACGTATCCTTAGCATATATAGATAGAATTCTCATATGACGTCACTGATTATAAAAAGGCAAGGAAAGTCATTTCAGAAGTGTACACATCTTTAGTACTGCAGTGTACTGTCTCTGGGCGCTAATGTAAACACAAGACGGATGTCGAAGCCTGACATGGGATCCATCATTCACATAAAAATTTAAAAAATCAATGAAATATTCTGGTCATAGGAAACTATTATGTGAATTATCAAAATTATCAAAATTTAATGCTTTTAACCTCCTCGGATACTAAAACGAACACTGATGCATCTATTATTGTTTACCAATTCCGCCCAGAGAGAACTGGTTTCAATATGTACACAGAGTATACACAACCGCAATTGACTTTCCTTGCCTTACATTCTTGGGTTTACTACAATTCTAATTTTATATTTGTTATTTCTATTTTTTGTAGATTTAATTCATAATATTATTTATACGTCCGTATTACTTCACCAGAAATTCCACCAATGGCAGTGCAGTAAAGCGGTCATGTGATACAGGCAGAGACACGTGCCCAGTATACTGTTCTGCCATTGGTGATAGTTCTGGTCAAGTGATTTAAGTTTAAGATTTTCCAAATTTTACATATATGAACTTTCGTATAATTTTAACACAGTTTTATACCAATTTCTCGAGACAGGAACATCAGATAAAACTTTCATGGGTCGCCTATACCCCCTTTCATTTTTCTTTTACAGTCCCTTTAACTCTGTATTTGTTTGTGCAGGTTGAGATGCTACAGGATAAAGTCGGGGAAAAGGATGTTATTATCAAGACAAGCTATACACTTGAAACATTAGGTATACCGCACCGCGATCCAAAGATTGCAAGCTTTCACGAAAAAATCATTGGAATCTTGCCAATTACTTCTTAAATACCTGAAGAGTAAATGCTAAAGCTACACGCGTTAAATATTTATAAGATGTGTACATGTATATAAAATTGCAATTAAGTTAAAAAAGGATAATGTCAAAGACTAAAGCATTGCGATCCTTTACAGTCGACTAAGTAAAATCTCCATGAAAATGACTTTGCACATATCAGAAAATCCAAAACATTCTAATTATATGTTCAATTAAAATGGTTTTTAAACATTCGAATGAAGATATTTTTTTCTTTGACTCCCGAAAAAAAAACATAAATACTAAGAAAATACAAAATAAGTAACACGTGCTCAGACATCATTATTCCGTGAATGGATGAAAGGGTACCATTGTGAACCCGACACACCAAATGTGGGATCAATTGAAATTTAGTCTATTTAAATATAACTGTAGGCAAAGAGAATAGAATATATATTAGAGTGGAATTTAGGCAATCCCTCGGTATGAATTTTGTCAGTCCTTTTCAGCCTGAATGGGAGTTCAAATCATGGAAATGTTCACAAATTATATGCAGTAGAGTACATTAATACAGTTCCCTAGACTATCCATTTAAATTTCGAATTTTTTAAAGCTGTTAAATAAACTTTATAAAATGAATTAGGTGAATAAAAAACATCATTTGATTTATAGTTATAACGGAAAATCATCGCTTGTAAAGTGAAAGGCATTCAGTCTATGTGAAATGATCATTGGTCAATTATGAAACCAGCCTATTTCATAATTTGGTTTTCTTTTAATATTAATTTTAGATTTTCTATAAAATGTTGTTCCAGGGCCCAAAAGGTTATATAGCATAAATATGTGAAGTACACCTGCAGTATGGAAACAGTACAACAAAATGGCCGTTTTACACTTTTTTCTAGTAAATTCCACTCTAATATATATTCTATTCTCTTTGACTGTAGGTTTGTGTGGAGGGTTGAGTCTGATTCTAGGTCTTTTTATTGGAATAATCTCAACTGCAATATGTGCCAGGTCTCATCATCTCATGTTTTCTATTTCATTATGTTAAAGGAATTAAGTCTTTGCCACAAACTCTGATCTTCTAATCCCTATATCTTTGCAACCCAAAATGTCGTAGAACTTAGATATTTCAATTATGAATAATCTAAGTTTGAAATATCAAAAGTTTACACCACCAGATTGCAAAGATATGTATGGGATTAGTAAATATGAGGTTGTGGAAAAGGCTCAATTTTTTTATTCGTCGCATGAACTAGCAATTCTGAATCTTGCTTAACGTTAGAAAAGTATACAGTGTGTGCCAATAAACATAATCAATTCTTTTCAAGTAGGGAATAGAAGGTCGTCTTCATGATATTTAAATAATTGTCTGATTGATGCATAATCTCAAAATAGTTCGCGGCATTTAACTCATCTTGTTTTTGCTTCAACTTCACAAACTTTAAGAAAAAAATTATAAGATGTTCTTATATATTAACTTACATAGTAAAATATGATCTTTTACAAGTGACATATTTATTTAGTAAATTTGGCGAAATCGGAGATTTTATTGCTGGTTCAGACCCAACTCATTTCCAGGTTAAATCTGAACCTACATGTTCTCTTTACTAATTATTGATATATTTCAAAATTAAATTCTACTTTTATCGTGAAAATATTAAGAAACCAAGAAAACTCAAGACGATAAATAGAAGTTTTGTTAAAAAAGTGGAAAAAAAGGTTTCGATGAAAAGTTTTATTCTAATTTAAATGCAAACTAGATTTACATTGTATTTTTGTGTGTAATTTTCAAGTGTTTAAAGGGCCCATTAACGTAATTTTATGTGACCCTTATTTATGACGGTATCCTTTAAACCTTTGTCTGTCTAAACATGATGGAGCTATCCTTGTTTTCTATCTGAAAATTTATCAGTTTTAATAACGGTTTCTCTATAAAACTGATGGAGCTACCCTTGTTTTCTATCTGAAAATTTATCAGTTTTAATGACGGTTTCTTTCCGAAACTGATGGAGCTATCATTGTTTTCTAACTGAAAATGTATCAGTTTTAATGACGGTTTCTCTATAAAATTGATTTAGCTACCCTTGTTTTCTATCTGAAAATTTATCAGTTTTAATAACAGCTTCTCTACAAAACTGACAGAGCTATCCTTGTTTTCTATCTGAAAATTTATCAGTTTTAATGACGGGTTTTCTACAAAACTGACGGAGCTATCCTTGTTTTCTATCTGAAAATTTATCAGTTTTAATAACGGTTTCTCTACAAAACTGACGGTCTAATTTTACACAGTAGAGGTACGGTCACGGAATGTGATTGTTAAATTAAAATAGAAGAACAAAGATATCTGCTATAATTGTGGCTTAAATAAAAACTGCAGAGTTATGAATTTAGAATAATACTCTCTAAAAGGAGGATTACGTAAAATTAATTAAACTACAGTCACTAATTATTGACACTAATTATTTTTTATTTTTACAATTATGTTTAGGTTAACGAGGAAGGAAACCATGAGAACTACAGTGAGACAACTGTTAAAGAAACTTAATCTTAAATCCTTTTGTACAAAATAGATTAAAAGTTGCTTTCACTTTTTAAAATAGATTGATTGATATAATTAATATAATATGTTCATTAATTAATGTACCTCTTGCAAATATCAATAAAAGTAATTAACATTTGTTATCATATTTAATCATTTAATTAAAAAAATTTTAGTTGGATTGTGGAATGTAAAATTCATACATTAGATTTGCATGTATAATAGTAGACATCATTTTACACCGAATGGAAGCTTGAGCGAACAAAAAAAACTGAATGTAGTAATATATTTTCAATTCTTTCCAAAGGATATTTACTATTGAATTCCAGATATATATAAGTACATAGCAAGAGTTTTTGTTATGATGTCGTATTTTCAACATAATGATCAAATGCCGCGGAAAAATGTGAGTACTATTTTATATCAATTGCTGTCCTGCATATTTCAGTGCTATTAATTTATACCTTGAATTAAAAATGAAAAGATGTTTCTTGAAAATTATCAAAAAACATGATTCTACCATGATATTTCGATCTATTTTCATAAATCGTATTCAACACTTTGAAGCTGCAATCATCTCAGCAGCTTTCTTTTTGTGCAGACGAATGAAGAAGCATATAAATTATTTAGAAAATGTTCAAGACGACATTTTATGTGCTCTTGCTATGTATTCGTATATGTGAGATTGGCTGTATTTAGGGCTGAAATCCCTGTTTTACTGATCAAACACAATTTTGAAAAATCTCTAATAAGCAAACCTTTTTATTTCATACATCCATTGTACAGTTCGTTTTCAAGCTGTTCGTTAATATTTAGTTAACATTGTTAAAAGCCAACTTTTCTCTAAGAATTGTAATAAAAGGTGTGTTCACAATTATTCTTTGTTTATCAAATCGTTTTACAAAAATTACAAAAAGGTGATAGCTGAAACCAAAATATGAAAAATCCAACATCCAGGGGCGTATATACCCGTGTAAACCCCAAGTCACCCTCTTCCGCCTAAAAGTTAACTTTTATCATGCGGAATTAGTAGACTATAAGTACATGAATCTATAGTAGTGTTTCTGACTTTTTGGGCCTCGAAAACCAACAATCTAGCTATTCCTCAAAACGGAAATGATCAGGTTTCAACCCCACCTCTTTGCATTCCCCCCCATCATAAATCATCTTGTTGCCATGTGTTTATTTTTAGTAGCTGCAGCTGCTAGATGACAGCTTGGACAGTTTGCTAACTAATTCATTCTCTTTTTGGTTTGTTAAAAGCTAGCTTTTTTAAATTAAAAAGCTAACTTATTTAGGCTCTTTTAGGTTGATAAAAGCTAGCTTTTTTAATTTAAAAAGCTATCTTATTTGGTCTCTATTTGGTTAATTAAAAGCTAGCCTTTTTGGTGGGCTATAAAAGTTGACAAAAAGTCAACAAAAAAACAATTTTTAAATTTAAAATAAAATAATTATAGAAAAAATATTTATTTTTAAAAAATATGACCAGTTGAATGAACAGTTAATTGAACGATTATAAACTGGGATGTATATTTTAAGATTTAACCCACACCCTCCTGGGACATGTTTTTTATAAGAATTATATCTGAAAAGGCCAGATTTTTCATCCTTTCACAAACTTCTTTACACAAAATTTGTTTATTTACCCCCAATAAAGCGAGGGTTGGATTTTCTTAAAAATATACATCCCGGTAGAATTCTGTAGTTCATGGGGATAGGCCGGCAGTTGATTGATGTATATTCAGGTTGATGCTGACCGAAGTGAAGTCCTAAATAAAATAATGTAAATTAATAAATTTTCGTTTCTTTTCTTTTGTCATAAGGATTTTCTAAGGGGGGTAAATTTTAACGTTTTGAGTGCGAAGTGCGCCTTTTTTTCAACCCTCCCCCTAGACATGTATATTGTACAACCACATTCATGATGTATATCAAATTATGGGGTTTAGCTGGGTTTCATTTCCATTTCCCAATCATTTCTGGGATTAACAAACTCTATCAAATAAAAGGCTTTCTTTATCACCTTTCAGCTTTCACCTTTTTTACTGTATATACCCTAAATCGAATCAAATCAAATCAAATCAAAGGTTGTCCACTATAGATTGAGACTTTTTAACAAGCTCATAAAATAGCAAATCCACCAAAATTCCACGCTTAGCAGCCACCTGTGCTATGGCAACAAATTAGAGTGTTTTGAAGAATATTTATCATAAAGAAGATTAAGGAAATGAAAGAGGAGTTGATGAAACTGCTTTTTAGTAGGTTCTACAGCAAAAACTGCCATGCCAATTATAATTCATATTTTCCCCTGAAAGTTAAGGGCCTTACTGGAAAAAAGTAATAGCGTTTTTTCTAAAGTCTCAATTTACAGTGAACACCATAATATGATATATTCACTAATTATATTGACTACATTTATTTTATAAAAAAACTGGATTTATTTCAACCATTGTGCATATATTTTTTATATATATTAGCCAACGGCCAACATCGATGTTTACATTATATTTTCATTACATTACAACATTACATTACATCATTACATTTTCACAATGCCGGCCGGCCAGCATAATCAGTTTAAAGAAGCAAAAACATTTTATATATAATTCATAAAGGGGCACATGAGGGGGGGCCCAGGCCCCCCTCTACGCGTGGCCCCCTGCTTCACAAATGCTCTCGTACGGCCCTGAATTTATAGTTAAGGGTATCATTGTAATTCAGGCATTACTTTCTTTTTATGGATGGTCACTTGAAATTACGCTGACAGTCCCTTTAAGTGTACTTTAGATTGTACAACTGTACAGTGTACTGTTTCCAGAATGTGTACTGCTAACAAACCAGTAATTTATTCTGTTTACCAACGTTGATATAATACTCAGCTAGTTAACATCAAGTTAGTATACTCATTTCTCTCAAAGCTATCTGACCTAACCCTTATTTAGGATTAAAATTTACATTAGCAACATGACTCAGATTATCCTCGTCATTATCTCCGTTCTAGTTTATATCTCCAATTGTTCTGAACACCAGAAGAACCTGGTTGATGATGAACCACTTCCTGACTATTACGCTATTCTGAAGGTATTGTTTTGAGTTATGATTTTTTATCATACTCTCCACCCCACACCACACCCCTTTTTAGTTAAGTGAAAAACTTTTTGTATTGTAGGCGATTGGCATTGTTTTTTGTGCTTCGGCAGCTTTTTTAGTTTATCTTTCCTTGCTTTAAATTAATTACCCCCATTCAATTCACGATTGTTTTTGTGTACTTTAAAATAACATTTCTATGTAAAGATGGTAATCATGATTCCCAAACATAAACTTTGTCTGCAGTTAAGTATGGGTTAGATATATCAATGTTAACAATTTTACAACTTTACGGCTTCTCTAAAACTGACTTGCGCAGTTCTACTCTAGGAAGTAAAGACATTATCAGAATTAAACAATTAAAACTCGGAAATAAATGACGTAACTTTGACATTTTTAATCAGAATGGCTTTAATGGTACCGTCGTTTATCGGTCATTGCAATCTTTGCATGAGGTGCACTTGAGAATAGGCTTACCGTCTCTTTAAATATCCCTCCCCACCCAGGGCTTATTTGAAGGTTGTCTGATTTGTCCAATTTCAAGATGTTTACAGAAGCTAATTTCTTTTATATTAATTATTTTTTTTAGCTGAAGACTAAAGAGGAAAATTGATTATCTTTAACGTTAACCTGTTAGGATTTAAAGATTAGAAAATTATTTAATTATTTATTAGATCTTTGTATAATAGACATAACTCTGTAATTAATTAAGGTTAGTCGCACTTTTAATTGTTTAAGGTTAGTCACACTGCAAGTTTGAAAGAGATCAAGAAGAGTTTCCGAAAGCTTGCGATGCAGTTTCATCCGGATAAAAATAAGGATGAGGTGGCTCAGGTTAGTTTATTATTAGGTTTATCAGGGTTTGGTTGGCTCTAAAGGGAGTGACTGGCAATGTGTGGTAGTTGGAACTGAGAATGCAGTTCATGGTTAATTTGAGACCTCTGACGTTTTTACGGTTTCAGTAAGAACGCAAATGCGATATTTAAAACCCTCGTTGATTGTCCATTTTGGAGGGATGATTTTGAGAATCTGTTTTATTTAAATTATTAATTAAGACCACGAAAAATGTGTAGTAACAGGTTGAGAATCGAACATAAGTAATCCTATTCAGTTATTGCATATTGGGTTTTTTATTGTGTTGTGTTTCTGAAGATTTCCTGGAATTTTTAATTAACAGAATTTGAAGAAATCTGCGAGCAAATTTAAAGAAATTCATATGAAGAGAGAGAAAATTTTTCTATTGATTTATTGGCAAATTTCTAATGTGAAATATGTTCATAAAACATTTTATTGGTTTACTGTAGAAATTTGTTAAATCTTGTTTTTAAATAATTTTTATAAAATTGATTTTCAATCCTAATCCTTCCACAGATAAACAGAAACAGATAAACAGAAACAGATGAACAGAGATAAACAATCTGAGGAATTTAAATTTTGAATTTGCGCTCTTGCTGAACAAATATGCACCAAAAAACGTCTGATAGGTCTCAAATGAATCCAAAAAAATTCTAAAATACTGTAATATCAGTTAAATTACCCTACTTTGCCGGTCACTCCCTTTAAGGTTAGATTGGCCCATGTAAGCATGATTGGCTCAGGTTAATATTTTCATGGCTTGATTGACTCTGCTAACGCTTGAAAGGTTTGATTGACTTGTGATGTGTAATTTGCCCGTTAGAGGTTTGATTGCACAGAGGTCGAATTTAAAGAATTTGAGCCGTAGCTTGTTTCACTTAAAATTGTATTCGATATTTAAAGATTCAAGCCGACGCTCAATTGAAACCGGTTTTTGGCGGATTTTTGACGAGGCTCAAATTCATCGAATGCGTTTCTTAAGTTCGAGTGGTAAGGTTTATGGTGTGCCCTATGCAATTAACGCACATAATACTAAAAAAGCTTAGTATGTTCTAAATGCAAATTTTTATATTAGCCCTTGTGCAATTTTTTTAAAATGATTATTATTTTGAAATTTTCTGATCAGTCACGAAAATTTGTAAATTAAAGCTATAAACTATTCAATGATGGGACATCAATTATGAGGTTTTTTTGCCGGTGTTTGAATGTTATCTGTTTTGATTTTGTGCGATTTCTTCAATTTTGTCGTTTCAGGACATATTCAAGGAATTAAGTGAAGCATATTCTATCCTAAGCAACGAAGAGAAGAAATCTGAGTACGATGAACTATACAAGTTTGATCATCTTAATCACGAAGACGACATGTCTGAAAAAACCAACGACGACTTTCTCCCAACTAGATTTGACGCGAAAACTGAAGATCCCAAAACAGAAACTCCTGAACCAAAACCTAGTGCTAATTTTTTCCAGGTACTTTGTTTTAATTTAATTTAATGTTCAAGGTTCTAATTTTATAATTTAGGAGAAGGATGATTCCTGGGGGGATCTAGATGATGAAACCCTGTTCTAGGTTCTAATTATATCTAGAAGGATGATACCTGCGGGGATCTAGATGATGAAACCCTGTTCTAGGTTCTAATTATATCTAGGAGAAGGATGATACCTGGGGGGATCTAGATGATGAAACCCTGTTCAAGGTTCTCAAGTTCCTGGCTGACAATGATTATGAGATTACGAAGAAGAAGATCTACAAGGATATACCTGTACCAGAGGGCACATATCAGAACAGGTAGGATATACCTATACCAGAGGGCACATATCAGAACAGGTAGGATATACCTATACCAGAGGGTGCATATCAGAACAGGTAGGATATACCTGTACCAGAGGGTGCAAATCAGAACAGGCAGGATATACCTGTAGCAGAGGGAACATATCAGAACAGGTAGGATATACCTTTACCAGAGGGTGCATATCAGAACAGGTAGGATATACCTTTACCAGAGGGAACATATCAGAACAGGTAGGATATACCTTTACCAGAGGGTGCATATCAGAACAGGTAGGATATACCTGTACCAGAGGGTGCATATGAGAACAGGTAGGATATACCTTTACCTGAGGGCACATATCGGAACAGGTTGGATATACCTTTACCAGAGGGTACAAATCAGAGCAGGTAGGATATACCTGTCCCAGAGGGTACAAATCAGAACAGGTAGGATATACCTGTACCAGAGGGTACATATCAGAACAGGTAGGATATACCTGTACCGGAGAGTACATATCATATCATACCATGCCTGAATTCCGGAAGGGGAAGGCGGGGGGGGGGGAGCGCACAGGGATTTATCATCTCTCTTACAGCAAACTAGCATTATTTCTACCTTATTCTAATCTTGCAGGGAGGGGGTGAGGCAATTCCTTTTTTCTGGAGGAATTTTCATCTTTATTGTTCAGAATTTACATAGACGAAAACCATGGACTTCTATTCCGATATTTGTTAAACTATCTTTCTTCGGGAAAGAATACACAATTGAAAGAAATCTTAATTAATTCTGTTATGTAGTGTGCTTTTGCAATCTTGTATAATCCAACGCAGCTTAGGGAGTAAACAAATAAGAAAATTTGGCATTTAAATTCTATTGAGGGTTTATGGTGGATATTGTTTGGGATTACTTTCATACTAAAGGGTCTTGTCAACTCAATACTCAAAAGCGCCATAGTATAGATTATAATCTCCCTTTTAATTAATTTTGTTAATTCTAGAATGTTCGAAGAACAATCTAGGAGTAAAAGGTCCTCTGATTCAGAATACAGGTAAAGTTTTGGATTTTAGCTGTTTAATTTAGAGGAACATTATACGAATTCGGGTTAATTAATATTGGATCTAGTTTTCGATGCCAAGGTTTCCTTTTTTGGGTTGAAAATTGAATTGGGGCTAATATTGGAGCTAAAAGCTCATAATTTTAATTTAAGAAACTTTATTATCCTTGATGAGCTGTCTAAAATTAAGTTGCTTTTTCTAACTCTCTTTGTAATGTCTTCAAAGCTATTTTGGTTTGATAAACCTTTATTTAGAAACGAAGAGCCCCTAAGGTATACTGGATATAACGAGTACAGATCTAGCGGAGCTGAACCTAGGATGTCTGGAGTAAATTACTCTAGGTACACTGAACCTATCCATCGTTACTCCAGGTACTCTGAACCTACCCCTCGATACTCCAGGTACTCTGATCCTACGACTCCAGATGATCGGTCCTACTGTAGAACTACCGTGAGCTGGGATGGAGCTACAAGGGTGACTCAAAAAAGCTGCTTCTAGATCTGGAGAATTTTATTTCTTATGTCTTATTAAATTATTATTTGACCTAGTCCTAATATGGACTTTTGACTTGTTATTTTCTAATAAATATTGTGAATAAAAATTTGTTCTTTTTCTAAAGTTGTTTTATCTGTCTGGGTCAATCAAGGATGAATGATTTACCTTTTACTTCTTTAAACCAGTGCACAGTGCACGCTGAATTGATTAAGGTCATAATTCTTAAGATTCTAAAATTTTTTCACTGAAAGTGGGGCTCATCAAATACGCAATTTTAGGTTTAATGCAAAGAGGTGAACGTTAGATCTACATAAGTTGCAAATCAAATTTTTGACTGTTCATTGGGAGGCAGAGTTCATCCTGTCTTTATCTCGTAGGGCTTATAATGCCGTAAACTGGAGTGCACCTTAGCGCATAATGATTTTAACTTAAGGAGGTGTCATTTCGTATAATCCCGATTAGCTAGTTTAAAAAAATCGAATGCGTACGAGAGCATTTGTGTGGGGTGGGGATACACTTAGCCTCCTCCTAGGATAAAAAACATATTTTCTTTTTAAAATACAACTAAGTAAACTATTTCTTCATATACACACTTCTATTTTACCAGTGAACTAATAATTATAAATCTCTATAAATATAAATCGTCAGAAACTCCCTCTTAATACTGTGGTTGTAAGCTTTAAGGGGGAAATTATCTTGTGTTTTCAAAGGATCTATACATAATTGTACTATAGATAATGATAGCAAATATATATTTATTGATTAAAGCTGTTTAATAACTTTAAAAGTGAGATTTTTAAGTATTTTTTATTTTACGATGTAATTATACATAAATGGAAAACGTGCAAATTTTAAGTGATCCTCCATTTATGGAGTGGCATGTCCGATGTACCTTTGAAACCTTCATTTCTCCATCGTTTCTGAAGCAAGAAATGCATGTCGAGTCACTTTTGTAGCGAAACTACTTATGATAATGAGTTTTCAAAATGGAAAACAAGGATATTTAATGCAAAACTTGATCAGACAAACCTTTGAAGGGTTCTGTTGTAAATCAAATTTATTGATTCTATATTAGTTAAACTGCTTTGTAGGTTTGAACTGTAAAGAAATTCACTCAATATGATGTTTTAAAAGATGATAAAACGCTTTTGTTCAACAAATCTTTCTAATATTTTTTTGTTTAAAATGTAGAAGTATAGCAGAAAGAAGAATTAAACTGGCCAGGTTGCAAAGCCTTGTAGAGAAATGCAAGCAGATGTAATATTAAAAGAGCCCTCCCCCCCCCCCAATGGATCATGTGTGCTCCCCCCTGGGGGGCCAGCTCCCCCACTCGTACGCCCCTGAATGTACATATTTAGTTTCCGCGAATGAAATAAAGTAATCTTACATTTCTTAAGTGTAAAATCTCCAAAGGGTTAATAAAGTACTCTTGTGAATTGACCTTGCCACGTTAAATTATGTTTACACATTCCTTAATATGAGAAATTGTCTTCATTTACACCTAAGATTGTCATTTTTTGGATCTCGTTATTAGTTTAGCGGAATATAGATGTTATAAGAAATAAATGTAAAAAATCGTAAATGTAACATGGTTAATGAATTTAAAATCGTAAATGTAAAATAGTTTATGAATAAAAATCGTAAATGTAAAATGGTTTATGAATAAAAAATCGTAAATGTAAAATGGTTTATAAATAAACAAATCATTGTAAAATGGTTTATGGATAAAACATGGTTTATGAATAAAAAATCGTAAATGTAAATGGTTTATGAATAATAAAATCGTTAATGTAAAATGGTTTATAAAAAAATTTGTAAACGTAAAATTTGGCGTATGAATAAAAAATCGTAATTGTAAAATGGTTTATGAAAAAAATGGTAAAGAAACAAAGTAGAAATTACCAGAATTACCATCAAATAAAAAGAATATGCGCCTAATTTGTGTTGTACCAATATTTTGTAAAGAAGCTTATTGTACGAATTGTACATTATGATATATATATGTATCATGCACTCTCTTTCTTAATGTAAGATACAGGGTTACCCACAAAGGATGAGACTGCATAAAGACTGTTCTAAAACTCAAATCTGGCGATTTAAAGCTTGATTTTAGATTTCTGCAATCAATTGAGAACTGGTGGTGGTTTAAGCACATACAAATATGCCAATTTTAGCCAACAAGGAACCCTGAATGCAAGAAAACGGACGGATCAAATTCCGTACAATCGTAACCCTGTATTTAAGACGGTATTTCTCACTGCGCAAATTTCTAAGATCTTAAATAAAAGAACCCTCCCGTCTTCACACTTATTTTCTGTATACAGATAATTTCTATTGAAGATATGCATCAAGCTTTAATTCATGGAGTTTAACAAGAAATAAGTTGAAAAGGAAGATATTAGGAAAGCAAATTCTAAAAAGAATTGTATTTGATTAGTAAAAATCTTTGATTTAAGAAATACCTCTTTTGATGATTTTTTGTTCAAATTTAGAGAATTCTTTGAATCAACAATTTTACATTAAAAGACTTATTTAAACATAAACAATTTTTTAAATTTTTAAATTTTTAAATTTTAAATTTTTGACAATACCACCATTCTTTAAGGACTGATGAGGATATGAAATAAATCGAAATTAATTTCCAAACCCAAGTTTTCCTACCTGTAAGAGTGAAATCTTTTTTTGCCAGTTTGGACAATTTAAATTTTTTAAATAAAAAGTATCCTTAAGTTCAAATTTAAAGCTATGACATCGGAAGAATTTTAAAAATGTCGTATTCTCAACTTTCTGATAATTTAATGCTGCAGATATTTCGTATTTAATTAAATGATTACATGGAGCTCAATCAAATTATTCGATCCCGCATATCCTTGGCTATTTATTCATTTTTGCAGTTACTGAGATTTACGTAAAATAGTGTATAACCTCGAGACGACATTTCATACATTTTTTCGATATCTCAAATTCTCTGGGGTAAACTACAGGGTGTCCCGCGAAACATGACATTTAATAAATAGCTATTTTTAGTTAAACAAATCTTTTGCTTAATCATATTTTACTTTGAAATCAATTTTGATATAATATGACTCCCATATAATATTTTTATTGATCTTTGGTATCACACAACTTAACAAATTAGGGATAAAGACATTCTAAACTATTCACCAACTGTCATGTTTCGTGGGACACCCTGTATACTACATAGCTGATGCTCGCTGCTGCACATCAAATCTGGGAGGCTTATGGCGGCCAGTGGTTCCCTCCCACTTCTAACATGTACAGGGTGTCCCAAAAAACATGGGAATTCAGTGACGAATTCGATATCGTCTTTGTTATGAATTAGCATTGTAATACCTAATTTCAAAAGCCATAATATTATTATGTCTGCTAGAGTTTATTTAATGAAAAGGGTAAAAGACTGCAAAAGATGTGTCTATAATGTCCCCGCAAGATGAACAGTGACTACGGACAAGTTTACTCTATTTGTATACTGTAATTTTCTTGTTTTACTAAGTACAACCGGTTGCAGTCAAAACATAAACAAACAAAATGTAAACATAGCAGACGAAACTCTTACAGATTACAGCTTTCTCAGTAGGTATCAATATACTAAATCAAAGAATTATTTGAAAAGACGATATCGCATTCGTCACTGAATTCCCATGTTTTTTGGGACACCCTGTATCTAGGAAAATTAGTTAGAACCAGGCATATTTGAACGTACTGGGTTACCCACAAAATATTAGAGATCATGAGACGACTGTACGGAGTTTTTACTGTATTCAATCTTATTTATAGGATTCTCTGCAACTATAAACTTGTTTCTTTCTTTGCGAAGCCATTGAAATACGGTATTTCAAAGAGAAGACTTAATATAAGCTCGGGGTCTTTACAGTCACATCCTTTGTGGGTAACCTTACGAATTAGGTTTGATTTGTGTTCCCAACTAAACTTAGTAAATAACATGGATGTTTGAAAATGAGAACAGTCCCTTTAAACCTCTGATACTCAACCTATTTTAAACTTTATAGCTTTACAAGTTTACAGGTATTGAAGTATAAAAGAGTTGGGAAAACTTTTTATGAAACTATTTTAAGATTCCGAATAAAAATTGGCTAGGCTAGGATGCATATACAAGGAATATAAGAGATGGGGGGGGGGGGGGTATTGTTAATGTAAATAAGGAAATTATAGTGTAAGGAATGTATATATAATGATTATACACCAATAATAAATATAGCAGGAATATATTTGATAATGACAGCAAACATTAAGAATATATAATCACCATTATATTTAATGTCACGCATGTTTAATCCTAGGATACCATTTCGCCTATTGCTTCTACATTATATTTTCTCTTTTAGACACGCCTTTTCGTGATTAATAGGATTAATATCTTTTTACTTTATGCATTTCAAGTTTAAAGGGACTGTACCTGTAGACGTAAATTTGAATTATGATCAATTATAGCACGTCAGATTCACGACCTTACCTTTTAAACCGTTATCTGATCAAAGATGAATGAAGAAAACGTATTTGGATTATTTTCAATGATGTTTGGAAATGCAGATTTATGGTACAGAGAAAATAAATGTAAATGAGTAGATATAAAAACGATGATATCTTCCTCATTGTTGCTCGGAAAGAGGCTGTGAATCTGACAAGCCACCAGAGGCGTATTCAGGGGGGGCTATGGGGACTAAGCCCCCCCTGTACCAGTGAAATCTATTGATTTCAGGGGGTTTTCAGGCCCCAACAGGTGCAGAGCCCCCCTGGAAAAATTCCTGAATACGCCCCTGGGTCCACCAAATATAATAAAAAACCATTTTTTAAATTGCAGGCTCTGTTGTAAGTGATGGGGGGGGGGTAGTGCTACAAAACCTTTATAGCTCTACAGTCAGATCAAAACAATATTCCATTTGGAAGGTAATCATTTTATTTATCTTCATGTTCAGCTATTACACAAGCTAAAGCTAGTACAGCCGGTAAACAACCTAATATTAGTACTATGTTCTCCACTAAAAACGAAACAGAAAACCCAAGGAAACCAAACAAAATTTTTCAATTTTAAAAACTTAAAACCGATATGTTGCTATTTACAAATTTTAGGCCGAAAGATTAGGACAAGTGGTGATCTATTTTCAGAAAGAAATCAATCTTATATTATGGGTCAGTTTAATGTATTTCTAATTTATGAATCATCAATTATATTAATATGGGAGGGAGGGAAGGAGGGAAAGGTAATTTATATGTTTTTACTTTTTGTTGCACCCTTTACAAAGTTTATGGAGGAAATATTGACTTTTAAGTGACGTAAGCGTAATTCCAAGTGACCCTCTAGGCAAATATGGCAATATATGATTTACAACAGTACCTTTAAGAACTTTATCTGATCAATTATAAATTAGATATCAATGTTCTCACAGAAATCAGAAATAAACACTTTTTGGGTAAGAAAATCTACATTATCTTTCAATGTTTTGAAAAAAATTAAGGTTTTAATGAAACTACTGAAAAAAGGGAATTGCCAGCTTTGAACAGAGGGTCACTTGAAATTACACTTACAGTCCTGTTAAACAGATTACATAAAATTGGGATGATAACGTTTTCGTGTATTTGAAAAACGATCGTTTCGTTGTTAAAACAACGATGTAAAATCGAAAATGAAACGATCATTTTAAAAAGGATTGTTTTTCAAAAAGTTCGTTTTTTAAAAATGGTTGTTTTAAAAAACAATCGTTAACGACAACCCTTCGTTAAAAATCGTTAACAACAAAGCTTTGTTAACTATCATTAATGATGAACCTTTGGTAACGATTGTTAACAAAGAGAGGAAACTGACCTGAAGGGCATCTGTACTTGAGTAGTTTTAAGAAAATATCAATAAGTTTTAGCTAGGGTTTCCTCCAGAATTCCGGGTTACATTTTACGTATGGAAATGATCCGGAAATTTTTTCCATTTCCATTATGGAAAAGGTTCCTGAATTCTGGAACGATTTTTTTCCATAAACCGGAAATTTCCGGAAAATGATGAAGACATCTTAAACTTATGTAAAAGATAAAACCAGAAGGTAATACTATCTACAGAATAATAGAATGTGCGCCTGATGTAGCTGTATTTAAAGTGAATTATCATGAAAAATATAAATCCTGACTGTGACTGACATTTCTAAAAATAATTTCATCTACACAAAAATGTGGAAAGGAAGACATGTATAGCAATCCTTGAGTCTAATTGATGTTGTTACAAAGCAAATAGGTTAATTAGTAACTCATAAAATCACTTTTAAATTGGTCTGTATACAGCATAGCATATACTACATAACTGCCGTGTCTCATGTTCATTGAACTATTTAGAGTCATAATTTAAGTCTAAAAGTCGTCCTCCTATTCCAGAGTTTTCTGGTTCTCACTCTATTTATATACTTTGCTCGTCTGTTTGTTTGTCCGTTTGTATCCAATAAACGTCCAAACAGCTGANGCCCCGGAAGTTCATCAATAGAATAATAGACACATTTTTCAAACATTAAAAGTCCAATTGTAATACTATATATTTCTATGAAAGGAAAATTTAATTTGGTTTAAGTTTTGGAGCTTTAAGCTTGTGCAACGAAATTCCAGCTGGTCTGGTGGGGAGGCTTCAAATAAACATGACGGTAAAATTAAAAGTTTCCCGCATGTGTGAAGACAAAAAAGCTGGCAGATTTTTTTTTAGGTTGTGGATTTGGAGAAAATAGCCCAGGAAAACTTGAAAATAAAGGTAACAATAATTAAGATTTACTTTTATAGAAAATAATAAGAAGGAACATTTTTTCATTCAAATATATTTCAAACTTTTAGCAGATGCATAAGGCATAAGCGTTATGCATTTGAAGCAGAAGATAAAAACCCACCTCTTTGACCAGGCCTAAAATGCCTCACTGCCTACTGCCTAGGTCTACAACATCGGGTTGCAAAGATATAGGGATAAGGAAAATAGAGTTTGTTGTAAAAACTCAATTCTATAGTTTTTCTGTTTTAAAGTTTTTAATTTTGATTATTTAAGAGAGATTTTGTCGGTTTCATTCCGTTGTATAGTTTACAAAATCTTGAATTCAAGAAGATTTATTTAAACTATTATATTGTTTAATTTCAAAATTATACCAAAATCAGCAATTTTTATAGATTTTCTAAAAATGATATATTTCAACTGTATTCAACTTACTTTGTAACTTACCTCATATTATTGATCAGTAATTTTAGTATTTATGAATCAATTTATAGAGAAAGCTGTGGAAAAGAAGACGACATTATAGTAATAATTAAATGTATTTGATGTTTTAAAAAAGATAAACAGTAACTTTTAAATCATTAATAGTCCAGAGTTTTCTGGTTATTACTGTTACAAAATTAAAATTTAAAAAAGTGAGAAATTTGATATAGTCGAGTTTCTTAAGTGTCTACTTTTTTTTGATACCCTGAGTCCGAATTTAATGAAGTTGAGCCTCGTCTAAAATCCGCTGTAAGAACTGTGAGTTTTGACATTTATCTATATTTTTATATTGCAAATCAAATTATATTTTAAACATATTCATAACAAATAACACCGTATTCTCTTAATTCTAGGATTTCCAAAATGTTGTCTTCTGGAAGATGTCGTGTCGGATCCAAAATAACGTGAGGAGTTTCTCTTCAGAATATATTTAACAAGATACTAATAACAGATTGATCAACTCGTATATATATATCACTACCCTAGGTTCTAGAATCACATAGAAAGATCTAGAATGCTCCGTAGGATTCTTAAGCTCGTTCCCGGATACGCTGGGTCTCGTCTTCCACAGTCTGTCTATTTTGAAAATTAAAAAATTACTAAGATATTTGGAATTATATCCTATTTTCATTTTGAGCAAAGCTATCTAAAGGAACCGAAATTTGCCACAACCTATGATTTTCTCATTCCTGTATCTTTGCAACCAGATGTCGTAGACCCTTGATAATTAGATAACTGAAATATCAAAGGTTTACACATTCAGATTGCAAAGATAGGAATTAGAACATTTGAGTTTTTGCAAAAACTCAATTTCTTTTGGAAGCTCTGTTTCAGTTTAAGTACCTACGTTTAGGCAGCTAGGGCAAACTGTACAGTACACTTACAGACCATGTCAGGCAAACAGGGACAGTACGTCAAATGAATGATCCCCTGCTAGTAAAATGTATGTGATATAGTCCCTTTGATAATATTTGTTTGCTAGGTTGGGGGGAAATATAAACCAGAGAACTGTGAATCCAGATCAAAAGTAGCGATCATAGTTCCATACAGGTAACTTACATTTAAATCAAGAGTTCTAAATTAGTTTTCACTCTCCCTTTATAAGTTTATTTTTTTATACTGAGAATAGTGGAGGATAGTTGAACTAAATACAGCTGGTTTAACTACTGTTTTTGACCTTTCTGTTTATCATAACTTTTAACAGTAGTTAATCAACCTTAGATAGCCAAACTATGTTCTTAACTCTGACTGTTTTTGTAAATTATTTAAACTCAATGATTTTCAGATCACGTGATGATCAACTTAAAGTCTTCCTGCGACAATTGCATCCTTTCCTCCAGAGACAAGAACTAGAATACGGGATATATATTATAAATCAGGTGTGGCATATAGACAAGAGACAAGAGACAAGAACTAGAATACGGGATATATATTATAAATCAGGTGTGGCATATAGACAAGAGACAAGAGACAAGAACTAGAATACGGGATATATATTATAAATCAGGTGTGGCATATAGACAAGAGACAAGAGACAAGAACTAGAATACGGGATATATATTATAAATCAGGTGTGGCATATAGACAAGAGACAAGAGACAAGAACTAGAATACGGGATATATATTATAAATCAGGTGTGGCATATAGACAAGAGACAAGAGACAAGAACTAGAATACGGGATATATATTATAAATCAGGTGTGGCATATAGACAAGAGACAAGAGACAAGAACTAGAATACGGGATATATATTATAAATCAGGTGTGGCATATAGACAAGAGACAAGAGACAAGAACTAGAATACGGGATATATATTATAAATCAGGTGTGGCATATAGACAAGAGACAAGAGACAAGAACTAGAATACGGGATATATATTATAAATCAGGTGTGGCATATAGACAAGAGACAAGAGACAAGAACTAGAATACGGGATATATATTATAAATCAGGTGTGGCATATAGACAAGAGACAAGAGACAAGAACTAGANAACTTGACAATTTGGTAAACCTGACAGTTTGGTAAACATGACAGTTCGGTAAAGCTGCCAGTTTGGTAAACCTGATAATTTAAAAACCTGACAGTTTGGTAAACTTGACAATTTGGTAGACCTAACAATTAGGTAAGCTTGACAAATTGGTAAACTTGACAATATGTTAAACCTGAAAATTTGGTAAGCTTGGCAATTTGGTAAGCTTGTCAATATAGTAAACTTGACAATTTGGTAAACTTGACAATTTGGTAAAAAATATTTGTTTCTAAAAATATTTTGATCACTTAGGTACACTATGGTGAAGCATAAACAAGAAACCAAAAGCGAAGGAAGGTTTAAAGCTCTCAGAACTGGACAAAGCAGGTAGTAGGAAATTGGGAAGAGACTTACGTAATCAATGTAATTAGTGTAGATATTATCGGAATTCAATGATTATGATGATTTAGTTCTTGTTTGGTAATTTAAAAATTTCATAATCTAAGACTTTTGTTGCATAATGATAACAATAATAATAATAAAGAGGACAGTAATAAATAATATCAATAATAATAGTAATAATGATAATAATAATAAAATAACAATTATAAATACAATAACAAAAATAACAATAATGATCATAAGAATAAAAATAATGAGATATAATGATGGTTATGTTTATAGGTATAAGACTGACGGTATAAACAGTGTACATTACAAAATACAGAGTATAGAAAATGAACCCTTGTATACAAACATTACTGTTCTACCCGGGGAACCAAGAAAACCTGACTGGAAAATATAAAACTGTTATAGAATGGGTATTCAAAAATAAGGACCCTCTCTTTACACCCCAATTAAAGTCCATATATATTTTCATGTCGATTTGTAAAAATTAAATATGTTTTGTTTTGTTTAGAACTGTTTTCAAATCAAATATGAATAAAGAACCCTTGTCAAGAGGATTAATTGTGATCTTATTATTGTGCTAAAGTTTTTTTTTCACCTCTGTTATAGTAAAAAAATTTTTTTATAATTTGTTTATATCATATTAGTTTATTTCCTGTTGAAATACAATTCACAACATATTATTCTTCCAGACCTGAAACATTTTGATGTTCCTTTTCTTAAAAAATTAAGAGATTTAAATAAAGTATTTTGTTTTATTTAAGTTAATTCAATAAAATATGGAATATTTTTTAATCGCAACGACAACTTTACAAACCCGGTGGTATCCCTAACACAAAGTCAAAACCTTCTTCTGGATATTTTAACTGGATATCGTTATTTTTAAACTGGATGTTATCTTTGTCAATAATTTTGTACTCAATGCTGCGAGATGCTATAATTGGACCAAACATTTTTCTTCCTCTCGGACAATAAAAAAATTGTCTCAAAAAATGTCTCCAGTGGATGGTGTAGAAATATCTCCACATTGCTGGATGAAATTATCTATAGGTAAGACTATGGGGAATATTGAGATGGGTTAGGTTGGGTGGAGGTAGTCTCTGGATACCAATTGGGAATGTCTGGAAGGTTGGGAAGGATCCAGAGTATTCTCCAGGTCCTGCAGAAACTGAGGCTCCATGCAGTGAGAATGAATGACTCCAGGTAGGGTTGCAATATATTTTCTTGTTGTTGTAATCATCATCCTCATCCTCATCATTGTTCAGAGACTTCCAGTACATTCTGAATATGTTGTGTTTAAAATATAAAGATGACAACATTGGAATATAAAAAGTAATGTCTTAAAAAATCATTTGTTTCAGCAAACTCTTAGTTCAAAGTCAGAATAATCTAAGGGGTGCAAGCTCTCACAATAAAATTGGTACTTCTTAAAAACTAAACCTGAAAACAAGCGCTGTATAGTTCTAAAATCAACCCTTTTATACCAATGTATGCAACTTTTCTTAAAGCAGTCTAGATCTCTTTGAATCCTTGTTATTATCAGTTAAATCTAAAAACTTTCATTTTGCTGATCTTTACCTTGCATTGGTAGCATTATATGCAGTCTCAAGCACTGAAAATAATTAATTTCACACTATCAGACATTAATGATAATTTACCATCTCTTATTATGAAAAACATATAACCACTGCTACTATACATGATGAGTCATTATGAACACTCCTGGGTTTAGAAAGCATACAATAAAATGCTAAAAAGAAGTCATAACTTTTGTGTTATATATATCTTGATCAAGCATTGTTCTCCAAATTATGCAGACCTAGAACAAATTACTTATTAAAAAAAGAGTATTGTTTATTTCCAATTCTTTAAAAGGTTTAATACCCCACCTTAGACAAGCCCCTCCTGATTTACTTAGAAGTGCGTTAATTAGATCGACCCCCACCACTTTATACACTATACATATAAACTAAACAATTTGTTTATAATCTTCATGACAGAAACAATCTCAAGGAATAATAATTATCTTAAAACATTCTTTAAAAAGTGAATATTTGCAAATTACCTTTTTTCCATCTCATGATCTGAGTTTATTTCCCTTTTGTCCATTTGACAGCCCATTTTAAATTTTTTTGAAATTATCTTTTTTTGTTAGTTTATTTTCTTGTGGTTATTAACATTAATTTTGATGGTTATTACACTGTTAGAACTGACAATGGGGCAACCTAGACTGAAATATATTTTCAATAAATGTGGAACTAACATCTACTTTGTTTTCTCTCTCTACAGAGGTTTGGTCCATCACCATCGCCGAATTTTAAATCTCCTTTAATTCCTCTTTGATATCTTCAACTAATGGTTAAAGCACAAGAAAAAAAATCAGAACAAAGAATATATTTATTTAACCCTATTCCCGCTGGGAGGGGGGTCAATTTGACCCCCCCTGTAGTTTTTTCTACATAACTCAAAAAGTATTGGTCTGAGGCTAATTTAAAGTTACAACATTTAGAAGGCCTTCAATTATATATAAAAGATGATACATACTGTATTGGTCTTTCATTTGCATTTTAATCCACACCCCCCTTTTTTCCCATTCTTGAAGTAAAAATTATGGAACTTTAAATATTTGATGCTACTTTGTATGTTTCTACTCGTTCATTGTTGATCGAAGATTTGTAGTTTCCAACATTTTATTTATTGATTTATTTTTTTGTTGAATTTTTAAAAATAAACATTTTTAGATTATGTTTGCAATGATTAGGCAAATTCTACATTTCTGGTTCACTTTTTTTTGGGGATGCCAAAAGCTGCCATTTTTTCATCAATTTTCATTTTGATAAAACACCATCCTCTATGACATCTTTAGTATTAGATATGTTGGTTGATGGATGATAGATATTGTTAAAGCACTTAAACACAAAATTAAAATTAAAAATGAAATAGAAGCCTTTTTAACTTTAACTTACCTGATGAATGTAACACCAATAAGCATGCTTGTTCAGTGTTTGTGAAATCTAAATAGATTTGAATTTTGAAATGTTTCATAGTTAAAATATATTATTTGATTTTAAAAGCATACTAAATGTGCCCAATCATATGCAAGATGTGAGTCCTGTAGGATTACAATAGCAGAACTGTTAGATTCTGCTCACCCCAGACTAACCAGAGAGATCTAAGCATTCTGTTTATTATATTTGAAATCAAACATGTGTTGGGCTATAATTTATCAATCTTTAACTTTTCCAATTGGTTTATTCTATACTTGTGCATTCAAAATGTATATGCTGTCAACAAAGGATTTAAGAAATAAGGCTAAAAATTTGTTTTTAACAGGTCAAAGCTTTCAAAAATATTAAGAGAACCATTAAATCCTCATGTGTCTGTCCCATTTGTTTAAAACTATTTTAAACCATTTTTCAAAGTCTTTCCTTCAAACTCTGATTTTCTAATCCCTATATCTGTGTAACCCAATGGCAAAGATCTTAGTTATTTAAAACAATGAATTCTGTAAATGATCTGAGTTTGAAATATCAAAGACCTACAACATCAAGTTGCATAAAAATGAAAATTATAAGATTTGAGTTTGAGGTTATGACTCAATTCTTTATTCATAGGAACTGAAAAATAGCTTTCACAACTAATTGAAGGTTGTAGCAATAAATTGTAACTTGTAGTAAAAGAAACTGAAGATTCAAACCACCCTGTAATCTCAGTCCTGTAAATAATGAGCCTTCTTAAAAAATACTTTTTTCTTAGATGGAAGTTCTCATTATTATAATTCAGGTCTTTCCCTAAATATTAAACTTTGTACAAGCCTCTCAATAGAATACTCCAACCCCACTCCAAAAATCATATATTGTTCAGAATAATAGATAAAACACTGGATGTCAACTTCCCAAGGGAGTTACTTATAACCTGCAAAGAACAGGCCCTCTCTGTAGAATTAGAAGACTGAGAGAACCTGGTCTTTGCTGAAAAAAATTGTCAGATGAAAACAGTTTTGACCAGACTACAATCACTTAGAGATCAATAATTATGTCTTTGAAACTAAAACCTTGTTTGACACAAATTTTAACTCCATATGTAATTATAATCAGGCTTAAATAAATCAGTGAGTTTTGAACCATTCAACAACAGTTTACCTCCAAATTTCTACCATTTGGTGTAGCTAAGATGTCCTGCATCATTCAGTTGCATGTATATCAATTCAAACAAATTTTAAGAAAAATTAACTTAGTTAAAAAAGCCTCATTAAACTTTAAAGCAGCAATCATTAAGTTACTATTGTCATTTAATATACATTGCAATTCCTTATGATAGATTTCTGGAGTTTGAATTGATTTGATCATTAAACCGTCTTTCATCTTTCTCTTCAATAATAGTTTTATATCCAGCTGTTTGATTTTCAACTTCTTTGCTGAAGGAAAAGTTAATAAATTTTATGAAAATTAAAGACTGTTCAAAACTTCCTGTTTTTTAACAATTAGTTAAAAAAGGTTAATGTTATAAATTATTTAGATTCCTATTATTCAGTTAGTTTGATTAGACACAGAATATGGATACTTTTTATATTCAGAAATTGTTTTACTTGCCTATGTAACCAGTTACCCAGGCATCGTCTATCCATAAAAATTTTGTTGTCTGAGCTGCAACTACTAATCTGAGTACAGTAATACAGCATCAGAACTTAACCCTTTTTGATATGGGAAAAGGCCTTGCATATAAGTTTGAATCTGGAGAAGAAAAAAACATTTTTTACTTTCTAACCTTAGAAATTGTTTTAGCCTTATCATGTCATAATTCTCATATACAACATTTTTTACAATAATATTTTAATACATTTAAATACATTTTTAAGTATCAAATTTATTGCACCCACCTTGCAGAAGTTCCGGGATTCAAGATATAGAAGTATCCAGAGCAATACGGTGGATACAAATCACCTTAAAATATTTTTCTTTATTCCAACTCCAATAATACAGAACTAACCTGTTATATATGTTTAAAAATAAAAAATACCTCCTTCTTTTTTTGAAATTTCATCATAGCTCACATACCACTAAAAATGTCATGATATATTAATTGAGATGTTGTCAGTCAATGATCAAAGGTACCTTTCTTTTCTTATCTCTCAGAATTCTTGTAGGTGGCCACATGGGACAAAGAAGAAAGCTGTTATCATTATATTCTGGGCTTACAAGATATTGTCAACAGAATTTGGTTGTGAACATATGATTTATTTATAATAACCAGACCATCTGTATATTTTGACCTTTAGCTTTTTACCCAAAATCTGCAACTTAAAACCAAAAACAGTAAAATTTGTACAACTAGCCTTGCCCATCTTCTAAATTAATTGTGAACCTGTTCTCTTCATGTACATCGTAAAACAAAACAAAAATAATTCGCGGATTTTCACCAAAAATTTCGTGGATTTTCAAAATTTTAAAAAATTTAATGGAGATCGAATTTGATGGAGACAAATAATTGAAATTTTGATCATTCATAAACCTTCCCTGGGGTCCCAAGATGTCCCACAAAAAATTTGGGCTGATTGGTTCAGCCATTTTGATGTTTATTGGATACAAACAGACAGACAGACAGACAAACAGACAGATAACCCAAATTTATATATAGATAGGGAAGAGTACAGAATATGGAGTACTGACTCTTCTTGCAATGGACTGTTCAAAGTCTTACAAGGAAACAAAGAACAGCTGAATGGCCCAGATAACCAATAAACAATGTATCAAGATTAACATTACTCTAAGTATGTAAAGATTCCTGCATTTAATTTGGTAATAAACATTTTACTCATCTATGATAACAATTGTAATTGTTACCTAATTAATTGTTGTTTGTATTTTCTGTATGTATCCAAGAGTAAATGTGAAGCTTATAAATAAATAAACATTTTTACTAATTTATCTGTCCAATTGCAAAAGCTTTGACAAGGGTAAATGAACTGCTAAAATTCATGAGCTCATTCTATAAATATTTTACTAAATACATATATTCATGCCTGGTGAAGAAATAAGTAGCATACAGATCAACAAACATATCATCATCAGTCTTCACAACAAAGTCAGCTTGCTCACAAAAGTTTGAAACCCAGAGTTTACCAAATACATTCTTATAAGAGAGATTGCGGTATGTGTCCAAGAAGTCTCCTAGTCCCAAGCAATATTTATATTCAAAAAATAATAATAATCTACAGAGCAGTCAATGTACATGGTGTATTAAAGCATGAGCGCTGAGGGTTGTAAACCTAAACAACTTTCCGGAAGAAATTTTGTAGGGGTAGATTTTTCGAAATAAATAATAGATAAAATCAAAATAATAATAATGATCAATATTCTGAAAAAAAATATTTTGGGAACTAATAAAAAATTATTTATTTTTTAAAAATAAATTAAAAATATTGATGTATCTTCAGCTTTGCACCATGCTTTTTCCAATAAACAATTAATATCAAATAGAGCATTTCTCAATAATTTTGAATATCACAATAAAATAGTGAATAATTCCAAGTGGTAGACCTGTACTTCATAAACTGTATGAAGTTCATCTTTGTAGAGAGATGTAACTGCAAATCTTTTAGGACAGATTTGAAAGTTTTGAACTATTCTAAAGTGACAAGAGCTAAGTTTTGTTTCATTCATTAGATTGATGCACCCAATATTAGTTGAACATAGTTAGAATTAGGGGCAAATTTGTCTGACTTTACATTTTGTTCAATATCTTAAACTTTGAATAGGTGATTTAAAACTTTAGCCAGTGAACATTTTCTCTCTTCAATGTATTAAATTCAGTTCAAGAATAATAAACAATTTTGGAGTTCAATGTTTTGATTGTGCTGGGCTTAATTGGACTTTATTCAAGGCATTCACTAACACCAACTAATTCAAATAAACAGTTTTTTGCAGTTTATTAACAGAATCCTCCGTTTTTGTTAATTTCTAGAACATTGCCCAGCCCTAGCAATAACCAATACTCATATTTAATTTTCAGAATATTAAATTCGATGTTAAGATTTATGTTGTAATGGTATGAGAAATCACCCAATAACAGAATCAGGAGTTCTGGTAACAGCGATGAATATTGCATATATATGTATATGAATTTTGCACTCCTTGTACAATATCTTTATACTGCATGGCCTCCTTTTTCACAGAATTTTGTTTTGCAACATCGCTCACCATTCCCAGTAAAAACACCAATCTAAAATATTTGCTGATTTTAGAATGCAAGAAATCCTTCTTTTTAAACATCTTTGAAATAAAGATGTGGTAGACATAATTATTCTTTAAATGGATCTAATCAGAATTCAAAATAAAGTGTGATAGTGAATACAGGAAGTTGGGGAGAGGATCTTTAGTTTCTGTACAATTAAATATGATAACTTTAGAATTTCTTATATGTTCTTTGAAATAAAAATTAGCAAAATTTCAAATTAAGCTGAGCGTAATTAGTGTTTGCAAAATAGGTGTTGCTAAATTTGTACTCTATCAAGTTTTACGAAAGCCCTGGTTTAACCCTAGTGTGTTTTTTAGATGTTTTTAGTTGTTTTACCTTGTATTAACCCCAGGAATATTTGGGTTGCCCCATGTCTCTCTGTGATTAAACTTATCAAATAATGTTGATTTGTTTTTAATCTTTCACACCAAGGTAAAAAGAACTTGTGTTGTCAATAAAAAGGGAATCCCAACTTTGGCTTTTAAATTCTGAATAGAAAGCTAACATTGGCTTATGTTATAAAAAAAAACAAAAAAAAACTGAAAAACAAATTTGAACTTAATTAATCATTATGGTCTTTTGACTTTCAAGATAATCATCTTCCTTCAACTTTTATTAGTTTATATTTGATACAACTCCTGATTGCTGTCCTAGCCACAGAGTTGTCTACTGCAGAGTGTACAATTGTTACTAAACCTGAATGAGGTTAGATTTTAGAAGAGCATTCTTAATCCCTGACTTTGATAGAGGTAAGTGTAAATCACACTCCCTAACTTTTATTAAGAAAATCTTAAAAATTTATTTTATTTATTCAGATTTTTTAAGGAAGTGTGATAGGTCATGACAAAACAAGACTGAATGGAACATATGGTTCTCAAGAGGAACTACATTGTAAAATAGTTGTTCCATTACCGTTTTTTGAACCAAGTTGCAATCAGGGATTGAAATATTGTTTTCAAGTTTTGCCATAAGATTTAGACCAGTATTGCTATTGCTATTTTGTAAAATAAAGTACAAACTCAGATTCTAAAAGTAGAGTTTAAGTTAAGTTTCCTCAAATATCACCCAGTTTGGTAAGTGGACTCCAAAAGTGGTTCAACAGTTGTTGATGGAACCCAAATATGACACCATTATTGCATTTTCACAATGAAACTAGACAAAACCTCAACATAAGGATGGCAAAAGTAGTGTTAAACTCCACTTTATCTTGAGTCTGTGTTTACTGTGCAATGTAGAACATAGAGACAGTTCAGAGACAGTATCTTTAAAGGCAGTTGTTAAACTTCTAGTGAACAAAAGGTGAGGTTTTTTTCAGTCAAAAGAATAATAAACCCAATATTGACAGCCCTCTGATTTGTTTGGAATAGTCGGGAAATATATGTGCACCAGCTGACTTTCAATCAAACATTGAATTTATGATTAAAGATTTGATCCAGTAGTTAAGAAGTAGTTTAGTAACCTTTAGGGCTCAACTAAAGTTTGCAGAAAAGTATTTAATTACCTATTTCTGAAACATTACAAATATCATAGTTGATATTGATTTTAAAATTGTTGATATTTATTAGGGTAAGGTTATCAGGATGTAGGTTCTCATGAACATGTTCACTATTTAAAGCTGCTGGTAGAGTAGAGGTTTCATGAACATGTTTAGTATTCAAAGCTGCTGGTAGAGTAGAGGTTTCATTAACATGTTCACTATTCAAAGCTACTGGTAGAGAAGATTCTTCTGCATTTGTAGATATTTCATCTGCAATCAAATGTAAATTTTTTGGTCATTCAATAACTATAACTTTAATATTACTTATATAACTTTACAGTTTTCAACTGTGTTTTTCAAATAAATCATATGATATAGAATATTTTTTCTTACCATTATGTCGAGAACTTTGAAAATTAAAAACACGAGAATTTAAGTCTGCCAGAAACTTAAGATTGTGGTTTTGGGTTTGCATCATTCCTTTAAAACAAATATCAATAATTATTAATAACTCTAGGGAAAAAAATTCCATTTTGGAAATGGAATGATCTGGAAATTTGTTTTGTTAACGTGGAATTCCAGGAAAATTGCAGTTAAATGGAAACTGTAATAAATTAGAATTTATAACAACTTGGCTTGACTTGGTGAATTTAAGAAAAAAAATGTGGACATTTTTTCTGCACAAATTTTTAAATTCCGACTGGTTCTAAACCTTCCCTTGAGTCATGTGAGTTGCCTCACAAATGTTGGGCTCAACTGTTTATGCAATTTTGATGTTCATTGGATACATAGACAAAAAAAACAGCTGAGCAAAGTATGTAAATTTAGTGAAACCAGAAAACTCGGGAATAGGAGGCTGACTAAAGTTATGGCTCTAAATAGTTTATTGAACATGAGACATGGCAATTTTGGTATGCATACTGTAAACAGACCAATTTTATTTAATAAGTAATTTTATTGGTTATCATTTAAACTTTTTGATTTTTAACAATATCAAATAGATTTAAGGATTGCTAGTCATTTCCAAAGTTTTCTGTTTTTGAAATTTTTTGAGACATGAATAAAATTAACACTGGAAGAGCCAGAGTTTACAATTCATGATATTTCTCAGAAGCAACTCTAACTACAGCTAAATCAGGCACAAATTTTATAATTAAGTATTTAGTGTTTATTTTTTCAAGTTTTTCCAGTAATTTCCAATTTATGGATAGATAAAGTCAGTCCTGAATTGAATGGGAATGAGGAATTAACGGAACCTTTTCCATGATAGAAATGGAAAAAAATTTGTTTGGCTCTTTACTATTTTTATTTGCTTTTATTCTATTTGCTGTAGCTGCTAGAAAGTATACCTATGAGTTAGAGAGCACTATTTTAACTAAATTATTTACCAGTTTCTGATCATGTTAAATTTCATTTTCCAAAATCTACAAAGAGATGAACTAAAAACAGTTGTATGATCAGCGAAAAAGAAGATACAACAGCTATAGAATAAATGCTCTTTTTTAAAATTTTTTGTAAAAATTTAATAATAAATGCTAAAAAATTTACCGGTTTCAAAAGTTGTGAGAATAATGAAAAGTGATAATACACATGATGCAATCAGAAGCTTAAAACCTAATTTCATCTGAAAAAAATGGTGTAAAATCAGCACAAAAGCATATTTACATAATGCACTCAAAATTTGTTACAATTTTTTTTTGGTTAATAGAATGATTAATATGCATTTGAACATGATTCTTTAATCTATTTTCATTTTTTGATAATTTTTGTAATCATAGAATGTTTAAGGCAACATCATGGAAAATTTATGTTATTTTGTTTGGGGCAATGACATGGAAAGTGTTTGTTACAGAAGTGACACATATTAACTAAGTTAATAAGATTTTATAATTGAGAGGATAAGTTATTCATTTTTATATTTTAATAGAAATCTCCAGAATTACTTTTAGTGGCCCTTTTTTCATTCCAACTATATCTAGAGCTTAGCTCCAACAATGTAGTTCTCTAGTTGTCTGAGTAATATAGCATCTATTCCAGGAACTTTTTTGCATTTACTCTTCATAGCCTTATCATCAACCTATATATATTCAATTTGAAATTGGAATTGTAAAAAGTTTAAATAAGGGAGAAAATTGAAAACAAGTTGGTTTTCTTAATTCTTCCATTTTATCATTATTTTTACTTTGTTCAATTTTAATTTCTTGACATTCATACATGTGCAAGGTTAAAATCCCAAGGTTTCTTTTCTTTACAGTATTTTTGTTTTTCTTGAAAATCCCATGGATTTCAGTAATAAAAAATATTAAAATTTGTTTTATATATTTTTTACAGAACCTGTGCTAGCCCAGACTTGATCTGGGAATAAAGATGTCCCAGTTCATCTTTTTTTAAATCAAACCTTTCGAAGGATTCAAATATCTTCTGGATTTTCATCTCATGTCCCTTAAAATAAAATTGGTTGCTATATCAATGAGTGTTTAACCTAAAAGCATCATAATTATATGATGAAAATTAAACAATATCTTATTTTTTCAAACCCTACAATGACATAGACTTTTTATTGTAAAAAGACATATAGAGCTATTTCTTATTTGTCTGGACTTGTATCTCTTGCTGTGAAATACCAATACAATTTGCTGGTATAAAATGGCGCCCAGATATACCAAAAACTCGTCAAAGGTTGAACCTGAACCTTCCTCTAATCAAGTTAACTCTAGAGTAGATATTGCTCTCCTAAATTACAGCAGGCGCTACAACATTTGCTCTATTTCCATTTACTCTATGGTCATTTGCTCTAGTTCCATTTGCTCTATCAAGTCATTTGCTCTGTACTCTATACGTCATTTGATCTATACGTCATTTGCTCAATATTCAATCTACTCCTTGAGTGAACATGTCATTTGCTCTATAACATAAAAATACACTATAAAATAGCTTTTATTGGAATTCCTGAGAGTAACTTGACTATGAAATGCGGGAATTTTTTTTGGAAAATTCGCAAATAGCAGTTTTCATCAGTTCTTCAAAGTCCATCATGACACCGAGACTGGTTCTGCTAGGAAACAATACTCAAAGAACAAGGAAATGTTAATATTTAACTTGGTCTCACAATATGCACAAATAGCAGACAAACTAAACTATCTCCAGGAAGTTGGCGGAATAATGAAACTGTAGGAAGAAATGTAAAATGTAAAATTGTAAAAATATTGTTTTAATATGATTAGATATTTATATAATATGTTTATAGAGCAAATGACGTGTTTACTCATAGAGCAAATGTTGAGTAGAGCAATTGGACCATCACAGTCATAAAAATGGTTATAGAGTAAATGACGTGTTATGTCATAGATCAATTGACGTATAGAGCAGATGACATATAGAGCAAACATTGTGATCTATGAGCTATAGAGCAAATGGAACTAGAGCAAATGACCATAGAGCAAATGGAAATAGAGCAGATGTTGTAGAACAGCTAAGGAGTACCCTAGAAAATATATCTATAAGTTTTGACTCCAGTTCATCTAAGGACGTCAATGGAGTCATTAAAAACTTGATTTCTGCAGTCCAAAATCTCACCGACAACCTGAGTGGATTGCAGAATAAGATGGAGATGCTGGAGAATAGATTCAGATCCCAGTAGTACCAGATGGATGAGATATCCCGGTGAGGTATGAATGGTAATCTTATTGTGACTAGTTTGCCCAACAAGAACAAGGGTAGGTTCTTTCTCAGCAAGACTCCTGCACAGTTGAAGGAGGAGAACTTGTCATATCATCTCACTGGTGAAGGATAAGTTCAGAGCAGTACTCCCTGCAGAAGACAATACTGCATGTCACCATCTACCAAAGGGAGGAGTTGTGCTAAGAATCCATAACAGAAAGAAGGTATCCACGTGGGAGTCGATTATCCAGAGATTGAAGGAGGGAGTCTGACCAGATGTAAATGTTTTCTTTAACATCCAGCTCACCAAACATAGGTTCAATTTGTTATTTGAAGTTCGAAAATTAAAGAATGAGAATAAACATTTTTTACTGACAAAAACGGACATATTAAGAGCCAATGACAAGGAAAAGCATAGTATAACCCACTCTTGGGACTAGAGAGTAACAGTAACACTCCATAAAGAGGAGCTTATCAATCTTGTTCAAAGCCTTACTAAATAGGTTTAATCATTATCTTGCACATAGTAAATATTAAATTTTAATTGTTAAAATTCATTATTTTGCATTTTTGTAATACTTTTCAAAATTTTTGATATGTAGATTAGTAAAAAGGTATATTTGTAATACTTTAATTTTTATATCTTCAGTTTAGCTATTCTTTTTTAATATCTATTGTTTATTTGTCAATGTTTTGCAGTTGTGATTTATTCTTTTTTGTAGCTTTGGGAGCGATGATGTTGTGTTGTGGAGGACCTAGGCCTTGTTGCAGGGGGATTTATGGTTATTCAAGTCTTTATGAATTCATATGATGAAGGTCAGCAAGTACAGAACGAATTTTCCCCGTTTGGCAATCTTTATGATTCTCTTTTTGATACTTCTTTAAACATTGATATTCTAAAAAGTTGTATTTATATATCTCCTACAGATTTTATAGCTCATAATAAATTGAACAAAGATTTTCAGTATTTTCCCACAATGACAGATCTTTGTCTAACAAATGGGATGATTTTTTACAAATGGTTAATGATTTCTCTGATTTTAAATTTTCAGCATTATGCTTACAAGAAATTTGGTCACTAAACCCCGCCTTTAATTTTACATTGAAAGGGTATTCCCGCCTGTACAGTAAATTGCACATGAGAGAGGGTGAGATTAGGGGGGGAGTGGAGGAGGTGTAGGGGGTGGAGTTGGTATATTTGTAGATAATAAATACAAATCCAAGATTATTGATAGTGTTTCCCTTTTCATTCCTAGAATTTTTGAATCATTATTTGTTAAAATTGAAATGAACAATATAACAGTATACTGCTTTGGAAATATCTATAAATCTCCCCAGACAAATATTTTAAGTTTTAATTAGAATTTAAACTCTATTCTTGATCAAATTAGCACAGATCCTTCACTTAAAGCCTGCCAATGTATTATTTATGGTGATTTTAATATTGATTTAAAAGTGTCAACACATGCTGACACTTCAAAATACTTTGATCTATTACTTGAAAATAGTCTTTTCCCTGTTATATCTAAACCAACTCGAATTTCTCATTCTAGATCCACATTGATTGATCTAATTCTTGTTCAAGATCTAAACTCAAATTCAAAATCTGGAATTTTTCTTTATTCTTTATCTGATCATTGTTCTATTTACTCCTTACTTGGTAATAGTGCATTTAATAATTACAAAGCCAAGAAAGTTCGAACTAGAATCATAAACAAAAAAAGAAAGGAAAAGTTTAATAGTCTTTTAGCTACTAATAACTGGTCAGGTATTTTAAATGAAAATTGACCGGAAAAATCATTTTGCTATTTCTTTTAGAAAATTTCACTGTGCTATGAGGAATCTTTTTCTTTTACCTAGAAAATTAAGACAATTAAAAATTCTTCTATATACCGGTGGATTAGCAGTGCACTGTTAAACTCTCGGAAAAGAAAAGAATTCTTGTATGCGTAAACTTATTCGTCCAACTTTAAACAATATCCAGCAATTTAAAACTATTCCAACTCTTTTAAATCACTCTGTAGAGCAGCTAAAGGATAATATTGCTCTTCAAAAATCATAAAACTCAGTAAAGATTCTGTGAGAGGTTGTAAGAGAGGTTTTGGGCACGGTGAAAGATAAATCTGATATTCCTATCTATTTCTCTGATAATGGAAATATTATACCTCAAGCCTAAGAACAGTGTTGGATTAGATTGTTTATCTAGTAAACAGCTCAAGGATGTTTTGCCATTATTAGCTGAACCAATTTTGCATGGGTTCAACCTCTTCATTCAAACAGGTTATATTTCAAATGAGTTTAAAACAGCTCATGTTATCCCTATTTATAAATCTGACTCTGAATTTTCTTTCAACAATTACAGGCCCATAAGTCTTCTTCCAGCTTTAAGTAAACTTTTAGAGAAAATAGTAGCAAAGCAAATGTGTGGGTTTATTGAAAAAAATAAGATAAAGTACGATTTACAGTTTGGATTTAAAAAGGACCATAATATGACTCAACCATTGATTCATTTTCTAGACTAGATCTACAATGCATTAAACAAAGATAACCCAGAATACACAATTGCAAAAGGCTTTTGATACAACTAGTCACACAATTCTTACTGATAAATTAAAACACTATGGATTTAATGGATTTAGGAGGACTACCAATCTTTAGTTTGCAAATTATTTAATCCATTAGTGACGAGACGGTCAATTTAGACTGGTTAAGGTTTTTATTTTTTAGCGCCTTCATTTTTAAACCAAATGTCGTCCTGTTTCATTCCCGCCCTTCCTTTAGATATGCCAAGTATCGCCTATAGGTTGCAGGCATGTTACAGGTTTGCGAGAGATTCAAATTCAGGAAACTCCAACTCCAACAGATATAAATCTGTGAAAAATTGTTTTTAAAATTTTTTTATTGCTATGAAAAGTTTGCATTTGATGTTAGTTCTATGCTAATGTTATGTTCAGTGTAAAAAGTTTATGTTTACTGCTCTTTTTAGCCTTTTTTTTGAGCCCGGTCAAAATTGCCTGTCTCAGACCAGGTCAATTTTGACCGCCTGGTCGAAATGCCGGTTTTTAGGCACACACTGTGCAGTATACACCCTACCCCAATATAGTATATTTACACACACACCCTCCTGTATAATTTTGTCAGTCTCGGCATCAGTCAAAATTGACCACCCGGTCAATTTTGTTTGAGCTGAGCCGGCCAAAATTGACCATTTCCTGCTGCAGATGGTCAAAATTGACCGGGTGGGTAAATTTTGACTGATGCCGAGACGGACAAAATGTGCCATGTTTTGTATCTCCACAACCCTTCATTGAAAAAAATTGAAACTTTAGATCAAATCTATGGACAGTATAATGAGTTAACCCTGTGAACAGAAAGCAGAAAAATGTGCAATAACTATAGGAGTCCCTCAAGGGTCTGTGCTTGGTCCTATACTTTTTTGATGTTTATTAACTGTCTTCCAAATGCTGTTTCATTCTTAACCCTTCTCTTTGAAGATGATTTGACATTTCAGCTTAGTGGAAATAATATTAGAGAGTTTTTTGACAAAGTAAATTATGAATTAGAACAAGCCTCTGATTGGTTTAACTGTAATAAACTGATACTTAATGTTTCTAAATCTAAATTTATAGTATTTGGTCCAAATAACAAAAAGATTAACCATAATAATTTGTTGCTATCAATAGGTGGGGAAATAATAGAAAGAATAGGAAAGTAGGGGTGAATATTGACGAAAATCTTTCTTGGAATACCCATAAAAACAAAGCTAAGAGTAAAATCAGTCTTGCCTCATTGCATATATACAGATTAAAGAACATTTTTCCAACTAAAACCTTGGTAAACCTTTATAATGGGTTTAGACCTCATATTGAGTTTGGTTTATGAGCCTGGGGAGGTGTTAAACCATCAAAACTTAAAGGGTTAATTAATTGCCAAAAAAATGTATACGAAATATCAACAAATGCAAAAATTGACTATAATTGCAAGTTGTTTATGCATTCTTTTGTTTACAATAAACTTCCCTCCTGTTTTGAAAGCATGTTTAAATATTCCAATTCTCTGAGAACGGATAACATTGCTTTACAGATTTGCTAAAAAACGTCCCTGCGCAATCTTCCATCCTTCATTTTACCTAGTAAATGGAATTCATTAACTCAAGATCTGAAAGCTTTAAAAAATAGAAATTCTCTGAAAAATCATCTAAATGCAGAATATTAGAATTCATATAAAAATATTTCTTGTAACAATATTATATGTCCTGATTGCCAAAATGGGTAAATTGTTGTACTGTGACTGCTGCTTCAGACTCATTCTGTGATTTAATAAATATTTTTATATCCTGCACTCAAGGATTCGCTAACCATTCTTCAAAACTATCTTGCTCTCATCGCTTCATGAAAGGATCAGCCCAAAAAAAATACTTTATCAATGGGCTAACTCAAACAGTCTCTAGACTCTCTTAGTCCTCAAACTAGAGAAAGACTATTTATGTACATAAATAATGTAACAGATTTCAACTTTTTGACAATTTATATATATACATTGACCATAAAATGTAATGTAACAATCAATCTAGTTTGAAATAAATTTAATATTATTTATTATTATTAAACTATTAAATATTATTTGTCTAAGAATAAATCTTAAATATTCACAGAATTAAAATTTCAAAATGACATATCAAAATTGTTTTTTCTGAATTTAATCTCATGAAGGAAACGTCATTTTTAAGAATTCAACATTAATAATGTATCTCCTCAAACAATGGAAAATACCTTCAAAAAAATTTTAAAACAAAGCTTTGAAAATAAGCATTGTTTTCTGAAATCAACAATATACCTTGACAAATGTGAGAGCATTACCATGAAGAATAGAAACCCCCTGATCAGTTGCTGAAGTACATTTGTTCTCACCCTGGAGAATTTATGGTTGACTTAGTGGATTGACTTAATGGATCAAACCCTGTTGGGCAGGGGTGTAGTCAGGAATTTGTCCAGGGGGGGCCTAACATTTTTTATCCTTCCAGTTGGGGGCTCAGCACCCATTGGGGTCAGAAAACCAACTTAAATCAATAGATTTAAGTGGTCCAGGGGAAGGTGCTCAGCCCCAATAGTGCCCCCTCTGAATACACCCTGCTGTTGAGGATGGAGTCATGTCAAGAAAACCTCCTGAACCATTGCAGAAGGTTTTAGACTCAACCTCACCAAATCACAGTTTTCTGGTTTCTTAAATTTTCTTAAATTAAAGAAACTTCAGTTAGAATAAGGGTTTTCAGCAAAATATTTTGCTCTTTTCACAAATTTTTGCTTTAATTTGTTTCGCAAAAAAAAATGCCATTTTCAGAGGTTGAAAGGGAAGCATTGTGAACTAAACATGTGGTGCTTTATATTGAGACTTGAGAGTCATGTTGTATTGCTATAAATATCAAATTCTCTTGATCCAACATTTATTAATGTAAAGGAAGAGAATTTATGAATTTTGAAATAGTAAAATTTCTAATGCTGAGCTCTTAGAGCAAAAAAAATCCACAAGCCTTTTTATACAAATTTATTTTTCCAAATTTTGCATCATTTCAAAAAAATGAAAAATTTTGCAAAAAAAAACAAAAAAAAACATTAAAAGCCAGAAATGAAGCATTAGTTTTTTTATTAATTCCTCTGAGAGTAAAGAGCTGATTTCAGCATGGACCTACTTAAAAAGTGGGATGCATTGAAAATTGACGCATACCAAAAAAATGCTCTTTTAAAAATGTATAGTTATTTACATTCATTAGTGAATGGAAATACCAAAATCTTTTTTTAATTCATGTAGATTATCAATGGAATTTTACAGTGGTCATTTCAGGCGATCTTGAATTACCTGACTGCACTGCCACACTCTGTAGTTCCAATGGCAGGGTAGTTCATAAATTTTCTCTGGATGAAAGTGAAAAAGAATATTTAAAATATCTTGATCTGCCAGACTAATTTGATCCTACACAAAACTTAGTTCATTTAAATTAAAGTGATTGATGCATATTTACAATATCTAAAAGCAGCAACAGAGTAAAGTCTGCTATAAAGTGATTTTCATGCCTCTGCTTCCCTCACAAAGATATTTTATCAAGCTTAATAATATATTATTGTTAAATTGAAAAAGACCTAAAGCTTAAAAATAGATTTTAAAATAGCTGAATATTATTAAAATAATATTAAACCTTGTATTTTTCAAACATGGCTAGATTAGCATTTGTCCAACCACCGTCCATATTTCTCATTCTTTAATAAATATATAATCACATTAAAAACAAATCTAATGTCTTTACAATATTAGCTATCAAAGGAACTGATTTTTGACACAAATTTTAATTTTCCGATATTTTATCTATTGTTAAAAGACCACCATTTTACAAGTCTAACAAATTTTGGTGCCATGACAAACTCCTGAAAGACAAACTCCTGAAATTATGAAATTTTTCTCTGAATGAAATATCATAAAATTCATAAACTTTAGGAGAAAAAATCTGCAAATATCCTAGAAAAAATTCTCAATCTTTAGTAATTTGAATATGCTTCAACCAGCGAAGTATTACAATGATCAGAATAACCAGAAAATTTATTATTATTTATTTTTTATTAATTTGGGTTAGGTTAGGTTAAGACACTTTCTGGGCCGAACGCTGCAGCTAGGACAGGCTAGGGGGCCAAGCGCTGTGGCTAGGACATGCTAGGGGGCCGAGCACTGCGGCCATGGGTTAGGTTAGTTAGACACTTTCTGGGCCAAGCGCTGTGGCTAGGACAGGCTAGGGGACCGAGCGCCGTGGCCATGGGTTAGGTTAAGTTATGACACTTTCTGGGCTGAGCGCTGCGGCTAGATTAAATATAAATTGTGAAACATCGTCAGGAGTTTGTCTTTCAGGAGTTTGTCTTTTCAGGAGTTTGTCTTTCAGGAGTTTGTCTTTCAGGAGTTTGTCATGGCGCCCAAATTTTGTTAACCAGTTGAACATTTATGAATTACACCAACATACTTTTTACCATTTGAACATCTTTGCATTGCACTAACATATTTTTTACAAGTTAAAACCTGAATAAATTACACTAAAATATTGTTTACCAGTTGAAACATAATAAATTACACTAAAATATTGTTTACCAGTTGAACATCTTTAAATTACACTAATGTATTGTTTACAATTTAAAACATCAATAAATTATACTAACATATTGTTTACCACTAAAAACCTCTATAAATTACACTAACATATTGTTCACCAGTAAATACCTGAATAAATAATACTTAAATATTGTTTACCAGTTAAATTGTTTTAATAGTGTAATGATTAAAGGGTTCTATCAATTACAATTACGGATATAAATCGGAGGGATTTCAAGATAAACCATTTTCTCCATTGGTTTAGGGCATGTACAAATGTCTTTCTCTGAGCCACCATACTTTATTCTTATAAATCCCCTTAATGTTCTCTGCCTGTATATATCTCAGAGTATATATTTATCAACTTTTCAGTTTTTTTCTCTTAATACATCTGCTTAAGGTTAGTCTTGTTGAATCAGCTCTCTATGGTATCCAAGAAACCTTGGTGCAGCTATTCCAGATCAGTGTCTGTCTGTGCACTTCTATATTTTGGATATCTGGTGCTATCTCTGCAAGAATGATTGTGTTAGTTTGCCCACTGATTGCCAATTTGAGACTCCAGTTCAAATCCATGAGAAAGTTACTGAGGTTCTCTCTGATACCATGACAAATTCATATACGCCAGGCAAATTCGAAGCTGGAAGAACTTCTCCAGTTTTCCATCATACCTCAAATTACAGAAAGTGCTGAACTCATTTTGTGTTATTGAGAGCTGTGCTCTGGGTTCACACACTTTGTTTGGCTGTGTATTTGACGTGAATCAGATTGGCAAAGAAGTAGAATCATGTGGTAATGATATCCTTTATATTTAGTTTAACCCTTTGGAGTTCATCAGTTGCAAGGAGTTGCCGCATGACTTGTTTTATGATAGAAAATGTTTCCCTGCTAATTTTTTGCGCCATAGCAATCATCTTCTACAGCATCGCACCTTTCATTGCATGCAGCCCTTATCAACAGAATGACCCTGGATTGGAGCAGAATGAAGAATCACAAGAAGCCACGATCAGTTGAAGCCATGAGGTTGAGTTTACTGCTGTCTAATGAGGACGTGTAATAATGTTTATAATAGAGATACTCAGCTCTATGTTGCAACACTTCCTCTCTATTTGTAATAAATGAATAATATAACAATATCCTTGTATTCTGTAAATATCTGTTGATTTTGCTCTGACTGACTCTAATGCTGGTCAACTTATTTTATATGCTGTAATTAGACCCAAATATATTCAGTTCAACACAGACTCTTGTCTTTTATGGATCGTGTATACCTGGATAGGCAGAAAGGACAGATTTAGATTGATATTACAGTAAATATGCTGATAAAGACATTGTAGGAGTTAGGCATTGGTTACACCTCTATAAATTACAATAACATATTGATTTCCTGCCAAACATCTATTAATTCCAATAATTCATTGTTAACCAGTTGAAACATATTTAAATTACACTAACAATTATTACTTTCAAATTGAAATAGGTATAAACAAAATATAGGTAGTTAAAACAGGAGTTGGGTGGGTCAATGGTTCAAGATATCAAAATCTTCCCCATTCCCTTCCTTTTGGTGTTTCATTTCTGAGCAAATTTTCCTACATTATGTAAACAAAGTTTGACTTATCAAAGATTTACTCCTTTCTTACAATAAAAAAAATGTATTATAAAAAATAGTAACCTTTTCAAATGCATGTGCATAATGCCTGCATTCAGACCTGTTTCACCAAAAAATGGAATTTTATTTCTCTCTGAACCATAATGATACAAACATGGGGACATGGCAGAAATCTAATAAAAATAAACTAAATTTTTTTTAATGATAATGTGTCAAACCAAAAAAAGATAATCAAGCCATGACAAATGCAAACATCAAACAATTGGATCAAGGATTGAAGGACTTTGAGTTTTTAGCCTCAGTGGAGTGTTCTTTTAATCTTAATTGTTTTAATAATTTAAAACAATTTAAAAATTGCCCATCACAAATTCTTGCGTTAAATATAGAAAAAAGTTGTAAATTGAAAATCATCTAATATTTCTTCAAACCTGGTTTTGATTAAAGTTGTTGAACTCATCCCAAAGATGTTCAACGGGTCGCAAAAATATCAAATCTGTATCAAGATAAATTGCCTTAAAAAAAATTTGGGGATATTTTTAGATATAAACAGATATTAAATTTGAAGTAAAGTATAACAATTCTCTGAAAACTTTACTAAAAAGTATCCTTAATCTCCTTTTCAATGTTTGGAAATATATCTGGAACAAAAAGGCGTTCAGTAGCACACTCACGGAACAGAACTCTCATATCATCTCTCCCCTAATTTGTATAGAAATGAATATTGAACAATAAGATAAGTGATTAATTAGAAAAAATTTTACAATTCTTTTCTAACCCATTTTGGGTGAACATTTTTAAAACACTGTGCACTGAGAATGGTAAAATTACTTCCATGAGGTCAGCATAGATCAGGGTCCAAATTTAATGAATTTTATCTACGTTTCAAATCCACCAAAAACTGGTTATAATTGAGTGCCGGCTTAAATTTTAAAGCAATTTTAAGTGGAACCAAACATGTTTAAGCCACCTCTCAAAATTAAGGCACGACTCAAATTCTTTATATTAGGCCCTAGGAAACTGTAGCATAGCTATAAAACAAGCCATTAATAGAGCTCTAATGCCAAACAGGGACATAAGCGTAGCTATCAAACAAACTATTAATAGAGCTTTAAATGTTACACAGGGACATAAGCGTAGCTATCAAACAAACTATTAATTGAGCTTTAAATGTTACACAGGGACATAAGCGTAGCTATCAAACAAGCTATTAATAGATCCCAAATTTAAAGAGACGATTCCCAACCTATTTGTTAGAAAAGGGAAAGATTACTCTCTCGCAGTAAGCAGTACAAAGATACTATATCAACTTGTGTATTTTCAGTTTATATTTTATTAGACGTAAAGTTAAAGACGTAATTACAATTCCTGCATTGTTATTATGTTACATGTTACAGCAGAGTTGAAATCGACAATATTAAGATATACGTCATTACATATCCCATGATTTAAGCTAATTATACTACGTATTCAATTGAAAGGGACCAAAGACTACATTTTTAGAGTTACAAATCTGATTAACAACTGTCTTCATAGCTTTGACTGATCAGGACTCCATGAGATGTCAATCATCTTTTTTAACAGTCCATTATTTTTATCTGTGCAATTCAACACTGTCATTTTTGACACTTTCATCATGAAATTGTGTGACTTTTAATGGCTAGAAATTTAATGAATTTTTTCGAAAATTCTAAAATAGCCCATTACTTCTGTGTCAATAAAGCTATACACCTATACTATATTTTTGAAAAGCCCTTAAAACATAGATTTAAAAACATGTGTCAAACTTTGAGTTATTTAAAACTAAATTTTTTTATCATTTCTCTGACCCTGTTTTGTCATTTTTTTCAACCCTCCCCCAGACTATTAAAGTTATTGGTCTAACTTTTTTTCAACAAGCTGTCATAGAAAAATTGTGTGAAGTACATGCATTTCAACCCTGTACCTATTCACCAAGGCCGTTTTCTAGGGAAAGCCATGGGAGGCTATACTAAGATTCAGGCCCTCCAACCTGTAAAGGGTTAAATTGCAATCAAAGTGTGTTAAAAGCTTACCTCAGGATACCAAACTGGATGCATTGAAAACCTTAGTTTTCTTTTGTAGATCTCCGGCCATCCAAGTGTCATATTTACCAATCTGCAGGACACTTACATTTAATGTTTGGTTTGTTTACTAATATATGCAGTGCTTTTAAGTTGTTTGGTTTGTTTACTAGGATATAAAGTATTTTTAAATTGTTTAGTTTGTTTACTAATATATGATTTATTTTTAAATTGTTAGGTTTGTTTACNAGTAAATTTGAATTGCTTGGTTTGCTTACAAATCTAATCTGGATAAAATATTAAGTGTATTGCCTAGAGTATAGGTTACTGTTATCAGCAAGAATATGAAAATGTAACAGTTTCTAGACAAAATAAAACATTTAAACTTTAAACAAAAAATTGTTTGCATGACAGATGTACATTAAAAAGTAAATCTAAAGCTGTCAGGCTTTTCAAAATCGCTATCAATTAAAAAACAATTTCAAAACAATTTACAATTTTAGATAGAACAAAATTTTAAAAATAAATTAAAAAATATAAGATTTTTTGTTCCTGAGAAAACATTACAGCTGATTTTAGCATTACAGAGGCTTGTCGTATCTGCCTTGTAAGATCACTGCCTAACTCAATGCTAAATATATCAATATTGTAGTTTAACATTTATGAATATTCTCTAGTAAAATAAATATATATTAAATGTGAAAAATAATATTGTTTGCTATAGCTAAAATTTTGACCTTCTAAACATAAACAAAAAGGCTCAAAAACCCTTATCTGTCTGGTTTTAACCATGTTGTTTATTACTGTGATAGATCTATGCCTGTTAGGAGTTTATGGCTCTTCTTTCTAAGTAAAAAATCCAAAATTAGGTTTACAATGTTTGAGAACATTACTTTGAACTTTGGCAAAGAATACAGATCAAATTCAGCTCTTCAGTTCTTGAGGACTCAGGTTTAACCTTATAAAACGTTATCTTTGTTAAAATATATAAATATGTTAATAAATGTATTGAGAAGTCACCCAACCCTAGACATTAAAAATTAAAGATATTTTTGGTTATAACATCCAGTTTTAAGACATAAAAAGTTATTTAGTTTTAAAAAAGTGCAAATATATTTGAAAATCTTGTGCAATCTGCTTTTATCTGGTCTCAGACTGCTCAATTCTTTTAACGTTTTAACTAACTTTAGTCCTGAGGTTATAATGCTTTAATCTCTTGTTTTACCTATAAATGAAAAAATCTATTTCTAGACCCAATTTCAGTCATTGGATTTCAAAAATGTTTAACTCTTTAATAAGTCTTTGAAAAAAAAATTTCACAAGTTTTCAAAGAAATTTGGCACATTCTTTTGCACGGATGCTTGTAAAGGTATTTGCATTTTGGTTTTTTGAAAATATATCCTTTGGTATTAACATTTTTTGCAAAATTTAAATTAACTTGGTCAATTGTTTAAAAAAATGTATTTGGAGTTTTATATTCAAGCATATTTTATTTCCTTACATTTTTGCTAATTGACTGTATTTTCGCATCAAATATATAGAATTTTGATATTTTTGTGCAAATAATTAGAGAAAGGGATTTACAAAAATGTATAAAATGTTATAGATTTGTATCACAGTTATAAAAAAGTGGAAGATAAATAAGAATTACCTCATTGAGGAAAAAGTAATCAATTCTTGACATAGGTATCTTCAAAGGCTACTAGATTGATTTTTTTCCTTTAAGCTTGCAAACATTAATATGAAAATATTTTCCAATAATTTCCTAATTTTCAAATTTAATGATATTGTTGCTTATGGCAGCTTGAGTGTTTTTGTTTTTAACTCAATTGTAAAGATTATTGAATTAAAACTTAATTACAGGAAAGTTTTGGGTTACTGTATGATTACAGTTGCTCATGAAATATGAATCAAATTTTAAGTTTTGCCCTAAATAAATAAAATACAGGTAGGTAACCCTTCCTCAACAAACTTCTGTGAATAAGCTAGAAGTAACAAACTTAAAACAACAAGTCCATAAGCTATTAATCTAGCAGGTGCTCTTGTTAAACGCATCATTTTCTGAAATTTATACCAAAGTTGAGGGAAGAAAAGAATCATTAAAATCCATTAACTTTGAAATTGTTAACCTACAGTAATAGCTGTTTATGCAAAGGATATCTTATTCATTCATGATCCTACCAAGATTAAAAGTACAGGAGTGTAGGTTGTATATGCCAAACAGAACTATCAAGAACAATCTCATTGTTCGGTAAAAAGAACGAAACACATAGAAGCATTCTTAAAAATATTGGAAAGGTTAGTAAATGAATGGAACAAAAATTGCTTGAACGAACGATTAAATTCAGGAGTTCTAAGTCAGGAATGCATTTTAAATCAGGAATGAGTTCTAAATCATCTAGAAATAATCAAAAGATTTTTTTCAATTACTCACCTGACCTCCCCCCCCTTTACTCTAAACCTGCCCCCCATTTCCAGGCCTCCCTCTCCCCTGAGGGAGGTGAGATTTAGGTTGTAAGAAATTGTTTTCTACAATATATTTATAAATCTTTTTAATATTATTGAAATACTTTTGTCTTGGACAAAAAGTCAGGACATGCCCATCCCTATATGCCACTCTGTAATTTTCAGTCAAAACTTTGTACAAGTGTACTTTTTAGTATTGGTGATGCTAGATTATTAATTTATAACACTACTATTTTTGTACGCATCAAAAAGGTTTCTTAGATAAAAGTTGTCCCGAGCTTTAGCTTTAATATTCTAGCTTGAAACCTTCTAGACTGATATCATTCAGGCTTCTGACTCTAAGTCATTAAAACATTCTTAATTTGCAATTATTATTAGAAGAACAGATGCTAAAGACTTGTGATGTTTAAGTATAGAAGAATAATTTTGACTATTCATTAAACTCTTAACTAAAGTTTTACACAATAATGCAAACAAATATCATGAAAATGTGGTATCCAGAGCTACAAAAATGTTCAATTATTGAAAATTTGACCTCATGCAAGATTCAGAAAAAAATCTTTAAAAAATTTTGAGTTTTTAAAATCCACAAAAAAATTGAGTCAATAAAAAAGAAAGGTAATCATTACTAATATAATATGTGTTTGTAACATATCATTATCAATAATCATTTCATACTTTGTCTATTTTTATTTCAAATTTACATTTAACTCCAATTTTAAATATTGATGAGTACCATTTGGCTCTTTATGTTAAACACTTTTTAACATTTAAGTGTTTCTGAATTCTGTGTTCAAAGACTGATCTTTTCATAAACATTAAGACATATTTTGAACAAAAATAATAAGTTGTTTGCATTGACTATGGTTAATGTTTTCTCTATTTATATCTCTTAGAGTATAAATGAATTCATCAGCATTTCAGTTTATTTGTCTAAATACATTATTATTGGTAACTAATAATTTGGTAACTAACAGTTTGGTAACTAACAATTTGGTAACTAATATTTTAGTAACTAAAAATTTGGTAAACTAACAATTTGGTAACTGGACAATTTGGTAACCAACAATTTGGTAACCAACAATTTGGTAACCTGACAATTTGGTAACTTGACAATTTGGTAACCTGACAATTTGGTAACTTGACAATTTCTTAACTTGTCAATTTCTTAACTAACAATTTGTATAATTGAAACTAATGTTTTATAATCATTGTTTGCATATTTATTTGTTGAATACATAGAGAGAAAAAACAAGATACAGGATTTCTTAAAAGTTTAGTATGACAAATCCGCTAAAACTGTTTGAAATCTTCACAATCTCTCATCTAAAAATGGCAGGGTATGAGTTTCTGAGAACATCAAGGGGAGGTGTAATGATGCAGGATTCTAAACAATTTTAGTATTACATAAAAAATAAATACACTGGACTATAGTCTTTTTGTTTGTAAGAGATATGAAAAGGAGGACGAAGGATGTCCTCCTATAGTTCATCACTTAATGGTTCCTTGTTCCTTTGAACAAACTGGTATTCATAATCATAATAATGTAGCAGACATCACTAAAACCATGATCAAAGATGTTCTCAAAAATGCGGCTGCAAACCCTGATCCATTACATTTGCTCCAAATGGGATGAATCAACTGTAGAGGAGTACCTGGATTCAGTTAATGCGCTAATTTAGGTAAATGATATATGAAAGTTTAATAAACCTGGTGAATCATAAATCTTTAAAAAGTCCTGCTTATTTCATTTTAGAATTGTATAGTATACCAAATTGTCAGGTACCAAATTGTCAAGTTACCAAATTGTTAGGTTACCAAATCGTTAGTTACCAAATTGTCAAGTTACCAAATTATTAGTTACCAAATTGTTAGTTACCAAAATGTTAGTTACCAAATTATCAGTTACCAATAATCCGCCCATCCTGTTTAAGGTTATTCTTGAGGAATTGGCTCTCTATGGTATCTGAGAAACGGTAGTTGAGCTGTTTCAGTTCAGTGTCTGTATGCAAAAATTCCTCAACCTCAATATCTTGTTTCGCTACTCCAGTTCCATTTCAATCTAGGCAGCTTCCTCAACTTGATATCTTGTTTAGGTGCTCCAGTTCAGTATTTATGTAGGCGTTTCTTCAACTTGTTATCCTGTTTAGCTGCTCCAGTTTAGCATCTTTCTATTGCAATCTTAGCTGCTACTTTAGCTGCTTTTAGAGTCTCCACTACTTCAGCTGCTCCTAAAATCTGAAATGCTTCAACTACATTCCCTGCTGCTTCCTCTACTGTCAGAGCTGCTCCTAGAGTATCTGTTATGTTAGCTGTTCTTCCTATCAGCTGTTTCTTCTCCTAGATTGACAACAGATTCATGAAGAGCTGTCTGTAATGAGCAGCATTGTATCCAGAATATCTTTATCTGTCTTTAAAGAGCAATGTCTCCAATATTAGGTTAAATTCTACTCTTGGAGTCCTAGGTCTTGACCAAATCTTCTATCTTCTCCAGATATATAAAGTGTTGTCTGCAGCATCTACAATAAAACGATGAGGCAGCATCTTATATCTTGAATATCCTAGATCCTCTCTTTATCTAGGATATCCTAGTGGGTAATTTAGATGGGCTGGTAGGAAACTAAAACTAAACTAGATGAATCTCTTGATATGAGACTGTGCATATCTTGGATCTCCTAATTCTCTTTATTTTAGATGGGTTGTTACGAGAGCAATTAGTCTAGTCCCAGAACTTGGATCTCCTAGTTCTCCCCTGTATCAATAGGGGTAGATTAGACGGGCTGGTACAAAAGCTGTTGGTTCGGTCCCAGAAACTAATGGATACAAATCTCTTGATGAGATTGAATGTATCTTGGATCTCCTAGTTATCCTCTGTATCCTTAGGGGTAGTTTGGATTGGCTAGTACGAGAGCAGTGGGTCCAGTGCCAGAAACTAAAGGATACAAAGTTCTTGATGAGACTGAGGAATCCAGGGATACATATTCGTAGATAAGAAAAATTTTGGGTAAAATTAATGGTTGAATTTTATATTAAAGTAAAGGAAGCAAACTATTTATATGACATTATAAAACCTTTAATATTGAGCTATCAGCAGAGCACAAGTTCTTTTGAGCAATTAATTATTACAACTATAAAACTCATGGTTTTCACAAAATCTTTGCACTTTACCAAAAAATAATTTGCAATTCATGAAATATCCCATTTCGCATTTTTCTCGCAAAATTTCACTTTCTTTTTGCTTCATTTCTTTTCGTGAAAAAATAAGAAAATTCCGAAAAAGTTTGCTAAATGCAACTGAAAATTTTCGCATTTTATCACGAAACGTTTTGTTCTCTGGAGCATAAACTGTCAACATTTAACATGTAAATTAGTTTGAAACATTATTAAACATATTATTAACTAAAATATTTAAATTCTATATAGATATTCTTTGCTTGTGTGTTTGTCTGTCTGTCTGTCAGTTTGTATCCAATAAATGTCCAAACGGCAAAAGCAATAGGGCCCAATTTTTTTGTGGAACCACAGGTGATCCAAGGGAAGGTTTATGAATAAAAAAAAATTACAAATTGTGTATAAAAGTTTTTATTTTTGAAATTTTTTTAAAATTTTGAAAATATGCAATTTTTTAAATTGAAAATCCGCAAACTTTTTTATTTTATATTTTTTTATCTATACACAAAGAAAACATGTTCTAAGTTGAAATAGAAGATTGGCACAAAACGCCCCAAAAGCGTGGGTGGTATAACATATTACATATATTTTTAATATATCTAATATATCTAAATATTTTTTGTTGTCTGTCCTAGTTTTTACTTATTATTGATGAAAAGAAATGTTGTCATTTCTTACTTTTAAAATGCACCAATTTACACCAAACCCCCCCCTCCCATCAAAATATTTTTTATTAGATGAATAAAAAAGCAAGTTCAAAGATAAAATTGTTATGATTTAAACTTTTCTGTTGATGAAATCAAGAAAAAAAATAGTTAGTTTCGGTGGTCTGCTAAATTATTTTTAATTAAATCCACACACATGGAATTGTTTGTAGATAACAAGTGTTTTTAGTTTTTAAAGAATTGTTAAACAAACATAATTAAGATAATAAGATACTTTTAAATGGATCTTAACTCAAATTTTACAGATGGTTTTAGACAGGGCCAGGCAAATAATCATTATCATCTATCTATCAATTTTTCCAAATATAGTCAGAAGTATATCAGCTCTCAACCAGGCAAGTTTATTTATATAAAAATTTTATTAAATGAATCTATTCAAAAACATTTTAAAATCTTTTATCTGAGATCTTGCATTTTTGGACAGGTTCAAAGCTCAGATTTTTTTTACAAAACTAAATTAATTATCTTTCAGGCTTTAAATACTGATAAAGGATTTTTATTTAATTTAAGACTATTTTTTTTCTTCTTATTAAAAGCATGAAATAATTTCAAAAAACATGATAATGCAATGAATTTTGTAATCTATTAATTATTAGGCCAAAAACAGGATCTGAAATCTTTATCAAAGGTTTGAAGGTTTATCAAATTATTTTATGGCAAATTGGATAAAAGTAAAATTGTGTTAAATAATTTTATATATTTCTAATGTAGTTCGTTTT